TGCTGCTGTGGCAGCTGCTGGCGGCGGGCGGCGCGGCGCTGGAGATCGGCCGCTTCGACCCCGAGCGCGGGCGCGGGCCGGCGCCGTGCCAGGCGGTGGAGATCCCCATGTGCCGCGGCATCGGCTACAACCTGACCCGCATGCCCAACATCCTGGGCCACGCGTCGCAGGGCGAGGCGGCCGCCGAGCTGGCCGAGTTCGCGCCGCTGGTGCAGTACGGCTGCCACAGCCACCTGCGCTTCTTCCTGTGCTCGCTCTACGCGCCCATGTGCACCGACCAGGTCTCGACGCCCATCCCCGCCTGCCGGCCCATGTGCGAGCAGGCGCGCCTGCGCTGCGCGCCCATCATGGAGCAGTTCAACTTCGGGTGGCCCGACTCGCTGGACTGCGCCCGGCTGCCCACGCGCAACGACCCGCACGCCCTCTGCATGGAGGCCCCCGAGAACGCCACGGTCGGCCCCGCCGAGCCCCACAAGGGCCTGGGCATGTTGCCCGTGGCGCCGCGGCCCGCGAGGCCCCCCGGGGACGCAGCCCTGGGCCCGGCGGGGGGCACCTGCGAGAACCCCGAGAAGTTCCAGTACGTGGAGAAGAGTCGCTCGTGCGCGCCGCGCTGCGGCCCCGGCGTCGAGGTGTTCTGGTCCCGGCGCGACAAGGACTTCGCGCTCGTCTGGATGGCTGTGTGGTCAGCGCTGTGCTTCTTCTCCACGGCCTTCACTGTGCTCACCTTCCTGCTGGAGCCCCACCGCTTCCAGTACCCCGAGCGCCCCATCATCTTCTTGTCCATGTGCTACAACGTCTACTCGCTGGCCTTCCTCATCCGCGCGGTGGCTGGGGCCCAGAGCGTGGCCTGCGACCAGGAGGCTGGCACGCTCTATGTGATCCAGGAGGGCCTGGAGAACACGGGCTGCACCCTGGTCTTCCTGCTGCTCTACTACTTCGGCATGGCTAGTTCGCTCTGGTGGGTGGTCCTGACACTCACCTGGTTCCTGGCCGCGGGCAAGAAATGGGGCCACGAGGCCATTGAGGCCCATGGCAGCTACTTCCACCTGGCCGCGTGGGGGCTGCCAGCCCTCAAGACCATCATCATCCTGACCCTGCGCAAGGTGGCGGGGGATGAGCTGACTGGGCTCTGCTACGTAGCCAGCATGGATGCAGCTGCGCTCACGGGCTTCGTGCTGGTGCCCCTCTCCTGCTACCTGGTGCTGGGCACCAGCTTCCTCCTGACTGGCTTTGTGGCCCTCTTTCATATCCGCAAGATCATGAAGACAGGCGGCACCAACACAGAGAAGCTGGAGAAGCTCATGGTCAAGATCGGGGTCTTCTCCATCCTCTACACTGTGCCTGCCACCTGTGTCATTGTTTGCTACGTCTATGAACGCCTCAACATGGACTTCTGGCGCCTTCGGGCCACAGAGCAGCCGTGCACAGCAGCCAGCGTGCCAGGGGGGCGGAGGGACTGCTCACTGCAAGGGGGCTCGGTGCCCACTGTGGCTGTGTTTATGCTCAAAATCTTCATGTCGCTGGTGGTGGGCATCACCAGTGGCGTCTGGGTATGGAGCTCCAAGACTTTCCAGACCTGGCAAAGCCTGTGCCACCGCAAGATGACAGCAGGACGGGCACGGGTAAAGGCCTACCGGGCACCTGGGGGCTATGGCCGTGGCACCCACTGCCACTATAAGGCCCCCACTGTGGTCTTGCACATGACTAAGACAGATCCCTCTCTAGAGAACCCCACACACCTCTAGGGACACAAGCCTGTGCAGGGCGGCTGTTGCCCCGCCTCACCTCTCCCCCTCCTGAGGAGACAGCTGACTAGCAGCTGCCCAGCTGTCAAGGTCAGGCAAGTGAGTGTGAGGGGGCCCGACGACCAGGGTGGGGAGACGCCTTCCACCCTTGTCAGAAGCCAGTGAGGCTCACTCCCCTATTGCCCAGTGCAGGGAGTGAGCCTGGCTGATTCCCCATGGGTCTTGGGGGAGCATGTGAGAGGAGGAGGGGGCAGGCGGGTGCATGGTCCAGCAGGGAGTTTATTTAATGATGTAATTTATTGTTGCGTTTCTCTGGAAGCTGTGACTGGAATAAACCCCCCATGTGGCACTGCTGAGTCCTGTCTGGGCTGGGAAGGGAGTCTCGGTAGGAGGGTAAGGGCCCTGCAGGAGCCTCCTGGTGAGCAGAGCTGGGTGTAGATGCCAGGCTTGTACCCTCGCCCAGCCCCATTCTCTGGCTCCCCACCAGTCACTGAGCAGCTCTGTTTTGCAAGAGTCCCAGATTCTGTGTTTTTCTCTGGCCTGTCTTTGCTCCCTTTGGCAACTGAAGCCGTGGTTCTTGCTTTCCAAAGGAATGCCTGTGGGGGCTCACAGGGGATTCCCTGGGAGGACACCCCCACCTCTAGCCTGTTTAGGGGCTGCAGGTAAACCTTCCCTTTCTTAGACTGCTTTCCTCACTTGTGTAGAAAATAGGAGATGCTGGCTCAGTCCACTCCAGGGAGTGCGTGGCCAGCAACTTGTGGTTAGACACCTAGGGCCAGGCTGTTCTCTGCTTTGGGCACGGTGGCTCTAGCCAGTTGAGAAGTCCCTTGCTTACTGTTCCTGATGCATAATACACACGCCCAGCAGTGATATTGTCACAGCCAGGTGGTCCCGAGGGTCCAGCCCCACTGCCAACCTCATTGAGAGCCCTGGGGAAGCCCCACGGACGACGGCTTCATTTATCGGCAGTGGGGCTGAACCTCGAGCCCAGGGCCTCCCCGGTCAGAGCTCTGTGCCCTGCGTCAACCACCAACCTTACAAACCTGATGAAAGTCGAGTATGTTGAGTCAAATTCCCAGAAGATAACTCCATCTGCAGTTGAGGGGGTTTAGGATCCCTCACAAGGAAGTGTACCCACACCCCGTGGAGTTTTGCAACACTTGCACCTTTGCTTATGCAGTTTCTTGCAAGCAGAGTGTGCTCCCCATCTCTTCTCTTCTCCGTAGGCACATGGTGCCCCCAGGCCTTGCAATGAAGCCAACTGACCCTATCACCTCTCTCCCTAGAAGGATCCTTGTGTGAGAAACAGATGAACTTATTGAAGGTGGCAGTGGCCCAAGCTGGGAAGGGGAGGAGCAGAAGCAGCACTGAGCTGGGCTGACAGGCCAGGCTTACAGAGAGCAGAGCTGGAACTAAGGACCTGCCCCAGGGCAGTGGACAGCCCAGACAAATCAATGTTCTAGAGCGATCTGGAGACCGAGGAAGAGAAAGGCAAGCAAGGTGTGGAGGGGAAGGTGAACACCATGGGAAGATGGCCCGGTTCACCCTTTTCCTAGCCAGTAGGTGGGTGGGGGAAGGGGTTGCTGGGCTGTGTCCAGCTGGTAGGGTTAAGGCTGGCTTTTGGGACAACTGGGACGGGAGGCAGGAGGTGAGGAGAGACAGTGCAGCTAAGATGGCCCTCAACAGGGCCCTGCATTCGAGGTGGGGAGGGTTCACATAGACCAGAACCTGGGAGGGAGAGCAGGTGGAGGGAGCGGCTTGCCAGCGAGGGCTTCTCAGCCTAGAAGACACTATGGAAAAGCCCCAGACCCTGGAGGAAGAAAACATTCACTGAAGACCTTTCAGGGGTCCTCCACTTGCCCTCCTTCCCATTTTAAAGACGGGGAAGTGCTCAGTCTGTAGTCCCCACTGCTTCAGTAACTTCCATACCGTGGATTCTATCAGTCAGCAGGGGGACAGCAGGTGTTACAACCTAGTGTTTTTTTTCCAGAGAACCCCTCCCACAGTAGAAGTTCCCACACCCCCAAAAGAAATTTTAGACTCAGCAACAATTGTCTGAGAAAGCAACACCTGCTGAGCACTGTGCGCCCAGCCCTCCCCTCACTGGCCCTGGTGACGCGGCAATGTGGACCTTCAGAGCAGCGTGTCCCCAGGGGCTGGGCCTGTCCACATGGTCTGAGGTGGTGGGTGGCAGGCTGGGGCCAGAGGGACTTCTCAAGAGCACAGGGGTGCTCTTGACTGAGGCCAGATGGGGAAGTGGGAAGGAGTCAGAAGCTGCTCAGTCCAACCCTGAAGGAGGCAGCCGCAATACTCAGCAGGGCTCTCTGAGGTGTACAAAGGCCTCAAGGCCACGAGCAAGGGTAATAACGTTAAGGGTGACCGAAGGGCAACCCTCTCTTCCTACCTGGCTTCTCACTGAACATCCTAAGGAGACTGGCTCCCCAGCAAGCAGGAGACGTGGTTTCTCAGTAGAAGGGGCGAGGTAGCACAGCTGCCTTCTCTGGAGCTTGAGGTCTGCTCAAATAGTTTGACCTAGGGACAAACCACTTCCTCCCCGGCAGGACTGAAAATTGCCATGTGCATGCTCGGCGTAGCCTGGCTTGAAGCCCTCGCTCACCAGGCCCACAAAGCAGGTCAGTGACAGCGCCCTCACCCAGGGCTTTGGTTTCTCAATTCTTTCTGCTTCCCCTTCTGCTGTCCACCGCTCAGGTGGTAAGGAGCCGGCAGTTTCATTTCTTAGCAAATGGGATCCTACCAGTGGCTGCCTCCACGCAGCGACAACCCGTGCCTTGATTAAAAACTCCCAGCATAAAAAAAGGCATACATAAAACATGACGCGGCAGAACTGTTGAAGCTGAGCGTACATGGGAATGCATCGCAGTTTTCACTTTTTTGTGTATATTTGAAATTTTCTTAAAGTGTCAGGAGTTTTCTCAAGTCTGACGTTTAGGATTATATAAATCAGTACAGCGGAGCCTTAAAAAGTACTTTCCCCTAGTTCCTGGACATTTCAAATGAAATTTTGGGGGGTTTTAGACAAGACAGGCCAGGAGAGGCCTGAAGGTGATGCTTCGATTATCCAAGGCCTCACTAACACTCCTGTAAGAAGCCCTGCAGTGTTGGCCTGCAGCATCCCTGGCTGGTCAGCATCCCCCCCAACAGAACTGGTTCAGGAGTAGATGTGGAAACAGTGCTCAGGACATCACTGCCCACCACCAAGAGCATTGAGAAAGATTCACCAGAGTTATTTCTTCTTTATAAACACATAATGTTTATTTGAAATTCCAATTTATTACAAGTTTACCCTTTAATGGGGCCCTTCCTCCTTAAAGACAATTAAAAAAAAAAACAACAAACAATTCAGGTGTCACTGAAGTGGGGACACAGGATTCTCACTGTTAACAAGAACAGACTGGCTCTAGGATGAGAGGCAGGGGAGGTGTTGGCAGCCGGGATTATAAACTTGTCCTATCAGTGCTAACTCCAAACCTGTGGGGGAGGGGACGGTGCACCTATCCACCAACCACTGGCGCAAATTCCCTGTCCTAGGGCGAAGAGGACAGGGGAGAGTAGGGACCACACCTTGAAGTTTAATATTAAGAGGCTTTATTCTCAAGGTCTGTGAGTTGCAATCCCCTTGGTGGACTTCTTTTCCCTTAATTTAAATAGGTACGTAAGAGCTCAGGTGCTCAAATTTCCAAATTCAAAGTTGATAGAAAAGAAAATTAAACCCTGTTTTGTATTTTTATCAAAATCTGCCATAAAAGGCAAAGACTACACATTTTGCCTAAATGTAACTACTAGCGCTAGACTCCTTGTGGGTCGGGGCTTTCAGAGTTTCTCCTCCTGTCCCTCCTTCCGCCCCCGCCTGCCCCGGCCCCTCCCTGCCCCGGCACCCGAGAGGCAGGTGCTTGGGAGTCCCAAGGCTGATGCGGAAATGCGATGGGAGGCGGCTGTACACGGAGGAGATGCAGACAGCCACCAGGGCAGGCAGGGTGACGCCTCTTCCCTACCAAATCCCACTGCTGGCCCCGAAGAGCCTCCAACCCCACTTCTTGAAGGAGAATGGCCCGAGGGAGAAGATGGGGCAAAGTAAAGCAAACACGTTATCATATAAATTGTACTGTACATGTGCCAAAGCAAGATGACAAATATTTTACAAGATGTTCTTTATACAATATCACTGCTGAAACAAGCAACTTTTAATAACTAGAAAAGTCAATTAAAAAAATTAAACATTTAAATTCTTCCTGCTTTTCTTCTGCTCCCTAAGAGCTTGTCTGGTATGTGGGTGGGCTGGGCTCCAACACCCCTCTGGCCAGATCCATCAAAGGAAAGGTTATATGCATGATTATAAGCAGGACTCCAGTCTCTAAGTGAAGTGCCTTAGTTTTTTTTTTTTTCCTTTTTCTTTTTTAGGGGGTGAGGTGGAGTGGGACCGGGGAGAGTTGTCACAAAGAAGGGGAGGGTATTCAGGAACGGCTCCAGGACATGTCCCTTTACTCTGCCAAGATCAACTCAAGACCACAACTGTTTCATGATGCTGGTGAATACAGAATTCTGTATGGCACTCACTGATACCGTCACCTGAGGGAGAGGAAGAGATAGAGTGCGGGTTTAAAGAAATAAAATGAAATATCACCCTGATCCTTCCATGTAACACAGTAACCCCTCCCCTGGAGACCAGAGGGCTTGGCACTGTTGTGATAGCCAAAGTGGGAGGGATCTTAGGAAGAATGAAAGTAAAGGAGCTGGGCTCGCAGGAAAGTCCTATCCTTGGACTCTTCCTGGAAACTCAGAAGGGGGGTTAAGGCCATCTATGGCCCATAATATTTCTGCGTGGAGACTACCCAACCAATACTAGGCTTTCCAAAGAGTTCTGCTGGAAGGTGGCCTTATGGAAAGTTTGTAACAGCAGCACGGGGCTTGGGGTGACAGGTGTCTCTGTGATCTCCCTTCCACATTCTACAACTTTCTCTCTCCACCACCTCCCACCTCCCTCCTTTATTCTCTCCCTCAATGACCCAACCTCAGCTCCCTTACCAGGGCCCTGCCTCTATTTCTTCTGTCTTCGTCCCCTAGACTGTCCAATGGGCTCTGACTCACTGTCCCCTTCATCTTCAGCAAGCCGATCAGGAAACTTCTTGCGTTTCCTACGGACATATGGGTGGCCAGGAAGGTGTTTATGCAACAGAGCCACCAGACACTGTTCTGTCTTCACCATGCAGTTGAGCACATGGCTGCCTCGACAGTTGTAAAGCTCAGCATTGGTAAACACTTGCTTCATGTCGGTGAGAAACTCCTGCACAGAGCGATAGCTCCCACAGGAACATTTGTTCTGCATTGTCTGAAAGTCCATGGGGTGAGTGATCACATCATAGTAGTCCTCAGCCTCGTCTCTGGTCACAGGCTCCCTGTAGAGAAGAACCACATGGAGATATTAGCACAGACTTGAATGCAACTGACATTGTTCTCAAACCACCTGCCTCAGAATACCCAGTCCTGCTGAGATCAGCCAGTGGCAGGCAATGGAGGAAAGCGAATTCCTCGACCACTGAGAAACATCCTGAAAGGAAAGGGAGCAGGGTAGCTCCTAAGCGCTCAGCTTAGACTCCCTTTCCCACTGTCATACTTGGATGTTCTTAGGACATACAAAGTTGGTCCTAGGCCTCTGTGCTGGAGGACACCAAGCTCACCTGAAGGGCCAGCTGAAGCGGTACTTCACAATCTTGTGGAGGATCTCTTCACACTTATGTAACTCCAGGCTTTGCCTCCGGGAGCTCCGCTTGGTCTGAAGTACCTGGTGCCAAAGGAAAGATGACATGTTATTACAGGCCAAGAGAGGACTGGACAGAAAATGCATATATCTGCTTAAAAAAAGGGGGAAAAAAGAGTTCAACCTTTTCTTGGAGCAGAGACAAATTCATGGGACATTTGAGTCAGAGTGTGTACTCGGCCAGGAGGCAGGTGCTCAGCCCACTTGCCCTGGCTCCTCATGGATGACGATCAAAGTAGCAGAGGGCAGGGCGGTTACCATATTACAGTCCTGCTAGAGGTCGGGGAGGGAGGGCCACTGTCAACAGGACACTAGCCCTCTGATAGCAGATGGACCTGGGATTATGCTAAGACCGTGGATGAGTATTATAAAAAGCAATTGCGGAAAGCCGGCTAGGTTACAGGGACCACCAGTTTTGTGGGGGCGGGGAATGTCAGGGAAGAAAAGCAGGAATTCTCTTCCTGGCTCTCCCACAGCACAAATGTGGGAGCTGAGTGGCCTCCTTCACAGGCTCTAGGCTGCGCTACAGCCAGAGGTGAAGTATGAGGGCTGAGCAAGTGGGTAGATCTCAGTGCCCTGTGATCCCCCAATGCTTTGCTTTATACCCCCAACCCAATTTAATCTGTCAAAACAAGGAAATTTTCAATAGCCTCTTTTTATTCCTGATCACTCAAGTGAAATCTAAGGCAAGACCACTAATACACTGGCAAGGAGGTGGGGAGAGGGCAATGGGGAGAGAATATGTCCCTCCCATAACAACTGTGGGCAAAAGACCCAGCAGTGAGACGCCAACATAGCTGACATTCCCACAACAGAGACCCAGCCCCTCGGAGGCCACTGGAAACACATGAGGACTATTTTAAAATCCTTCACAAGTTGCAGGCTGCCTATTAACTAGAGGAGACGATGTCTGCAGGCTCCAGCAGGGGAATGCCGGACATAGCTGTTCCTGGAGGGCCTGCTGGCTTGTCCGTCTCCAGGACAACCCATCTGCTTCATCAGTCTCCCAAGTCAGGGAGGAGAGGGGGAGGTTCCCACCTGTTGCCTGATAAATTCCTAATGCTGGTGTGGGGGGGCAAGAAATAGAAACGTTAGAGGGAGGACACATAATTCTTACCAGCTCATCCACCTCAACATCATCCACAGGTGGTGCCTTCGGCCTCGACCTCCTGGTAGGATGCGGCTTCTTACCTGGTCGTCGGCCTGGTCTTGCTGCAGGGGGAATGACACCCTGCTTGCCTCTGACAGTCTTCCGAGGTCTCACTGAAATAAGAAATTTGAACTCAGAGCAGAGCAACTGAAGGTGAAGGAAGCATATCTGTGGCATGGGGAGTTATCAGGACAGGCAAAGCAATGGTCTCTGTTGGCTATAAGGGACTCTTGCAGTCTCTCTCTTACCTTAATAGGAGACGGTAAATGGATATCTTTCATCAACTGCCAAAGACCTCTGAAGAGTCTTCAGAAGGTCTGCATTTGAGAACTTCTATTCTGCCCCCACCCTGCTCAGTTACTCCAGCAATGAGGCCCTTTGAGGGAGTCCACTGTAAACTCACTAACTCTGGAGAGACCATTTGCTAACAGGTCTGCCTGGAATTCCTACAGTCTAAACTCTGCCTGAGTGTATATAATTTACATATAAGGTAGAACTTGATTGCAGAATTATCAATTATCCTATATTCACCACCACAATCGTTTTAGAGAAAAGCTGTTACTTATGTGAAGTTTTCCTTGAATTAATTTGAAAGCTAGCGCAGTCCTGTTTCCTGGTTTTCACTTCTGAAAACCAGACAGTGAGCTAGGTCACATCCGTAAGAGTTCTGCCCAGAATGCCCAAAAGAAGATAAACAATACAAGAGTATCCAGCTACTTATGTTTATAACAGGTACTCAATGTCAGACAAACCAACCCTCCTCAGCATGTCCTTAGGGTGCAATGTTCCATAGCTCAAGGTTTCTCCACTGAACTAGTTTCCTTGGGAAATGGAGAGGTAACAATTTGGACAGAGATAGCAGTATACAGAGAACAAAGAGTTTTATGGTCTACTTCAGGACCAAGACAACTTTTCATTGGCTATTTTAAGGTGTAGCCAAGACCAGGCTAGTATGAGAGAAACTAGCTAAAGGCAAGGATGAATCTTGGGACACTAGTGACAGTCACCAACCCAGGGTCTTGAGCTGAACAAGGGAATTACAACTTTAGTGGCCAAAATGGCAGAACGAAGGGCTCTGAACACCAAATACTTCCTAGAGCCTTTTGGAAGGCAGGCAGACAAGAGAGTGAGTAATTCCAGAGAGTGAATAATTCCTTGGAAAGAGAGTAATAGCTCAGAAGTGGAAAGCCACCACTAGTTTGAATATAAACAAAATCATTACATGGCTATATTAACAGCTGCTCTCAAAGTGCATCCAAATCATGATTCTCCAATTAGCAGAACAACAGTCTCTAGAATGGTTAATAGATTACTTTGTCTCCTCACCTGGATATACGGAAAATCATGTCTAGTGAACAAAAGGCGCCTATGGGAAAGGGGGAAATTAAGGTGCCCCAAATTAAAACCCCATGATTGGGGAGATGGGAGCGGTATGCAAGCCCTCAGGTTTCAGCAGCAGCACTGAAAAGAATGATCAAGGCAAACATCCTCGCTCTCTCTCCTTATGTCAAGTACTATAGTTCAGAGCGCTACAATCTTCTGACCATTTCTTTAAAAGTTTATTAGTCCTGATGTGCTCTCTTTACTACTATCCTATAAAAAAGGGTCTATTTTGTAAAGAGGAAGGCTGGTAGACTAGGTTTAATCATGAAAATAACAAGACTCAAGAAAAATGAACACGAGATGAAATGAGTGCAAATAATGAGGCCTTCCTCCCTCTACTGGTACCGAATGAGAATCAAATCAAATGATCTAACTTTATACTTAAGTCAGAGAAAACCAGCCTTCTCTTCTCAACTAGCTACATAGCCCTGCACACTAGAGGAAAGAAAATCATTGTAACCAGAGAATCGATAACCTTTCTGGAAGCAGCACTGTACTAGAGGCCAAAGAATTGTTTAGGGATGGCAGAGGACCTAGACCTTCCTTCCTTCTTATCCCCCTGCACTGACAGGTTCAGAACCAGCAGACCTGTCCCAAACATCCCTCGGTCCTGAAGTCCACTAAATTTTAGACCAAATGGATCAATCATAGGTTGATGTTCTTGAGACTAAGACCCAACCACCTACATCTTCAAAACCCACTTAAACCATGGCAGCAGAATTCCAAAGCTACTATACGTGAGAAAGGATGATGGCCTGAGAGCAACCCTGTGTCTACTGGCCACACAGTCTGTGCACCTCAGTGTGGTAGACTGTAAGATTAACTAGAGAAGGCAAACGATACTTACATCGCAAACCAGCCACGCCTGAGAGCAACCCTGTGTCTATTGGCCACACAATCTGTGCACCTCAGTGTGGTAGACTGTAAGATTAACTAGAGAAGGCAAACGATACTTACATCGCAAACCAGCCACCTCATAATCTTCTTCCTCCTCCTCTTCCTCTTCCTCTTCTTCCTCTTCATCACTCTCATCATCTTCACTGTCTTCAGAGGCAGACTCCTCAGTATAATTCCTGTGAGGAGGAAAAGCACGCAGGGAACACAGTTTTAGGCTAAAGTAGTCCTAAAAAGAAAGTCTCTCAGGGACATTTCTTCTTCACAGACTAGCTGAGTTTGTCGGTGAGGAGAGGGAACCCAGGACACAGGAAACAGTGAAAAGCTAAGCTTCAGCAGCATGCCTCCTTCACCAGGCCCCAAACACCTTGATAAGACACCAAAAGCAACAGACATAAAGACCAAAATTCAACCCCATCCCCCCCTTCACAAACCTATACCCCTGCATACTACAGGGGAAATAACTGAAACCAGAGGAAAAAAATATGGAATATTTGGAACACAGAGGGACAACTAATTCTAAAGATATAAAAATGTTTCTATTCCTTTTGTCTCATAAAATCAGTCTGATAATGTAACATTTCAGGTATTAAAAACTGTCCCCAACTCTGGGGTGGACTATAAGGAGATCAACAGTCCAGACAGGTGTTACTCCACCTTGATGGCCCCCTTCCAGGAGCTGAAACAGCTTGCAGATGACCATTAACATCAAAGCAATAGTAATCCCAGCTCAGAGCAGCTGGTCCAAGCCCCACCACCCCAGAGTAGCATGCCTCATCTCTTCAAGTGGAGCTGGAAATAACCAGAGTGAGAAATAACCAAGTAATACTGTTAGATGGGGTCAGGATCAAACAGCTCTGCCCTTTCAAAGAGAGATCAAGCCAGAGTGTCTTTAAGCTACCCTTTTACAACCTCAAATTTCAACATGGAAAACAACAGTATTAAGTTGGCAAATATTAGGCAGCTCCACTTTACAAGGCACTATGTTTGGCCTGTTTGGCCTTACTGGGTGGGACTGAGTGAAGAACAAAGCACCACCTCTACTCTCAGGGCACTACCAATCTCATGGAAAGACAGTCATGCATAAAACTAACCATAAAGGCAAAATACTATTTTAGAAATCCAAAGCTCAATTGGAACACAGAGGGACAACTAATTCTAAAGATATAAAAATGCTTCAACAAGCAGTGCAATTTTAGGTAGGCAGGGGCATTATACCCAGGTGGGAGAGCTGCAGGACTGGAAAAATTCCCAGCTGGGAGGAAAGCAAAAAGGGGAGGATGAACAATGAACAGTCTGTAACAAGCACACAAATATGGGAACAAAGATTCATAAAAACATGGGTGAGTATTATATAAGAGTCTCAAAAAGCTAGATTAGGGAGTTTGAACTTCACCCTAGAAGCAAGGGTACACTGGAAGTTTTGAACAGGAAAAGTAACATAAGCAGATCTTTGCCTTATGTAAATCACAAAAGCTGAATGGGGCAGGGGGGAAGATAGGAGGTAAGGGAGAAGAGTTTAGAAGCCACTGAAGGACCCCATATAAGAAATGAAGGAAGGACAAGGGATAGCAGGGGCCACTGAGAATGGACCGCAGAAGTTTGACTGGTAAGATGTGGACATCAAACTGGTAATACCTGGCAACTAATGACTATGGAAAATGAGGGGAAGATGTCCCGTTGACACCAAAGTTCTAATCATGAAAAGGGGGCCTCCCCGGCGGCGCAGCGGTTGAGCGCTGGGTTGCGAAGCTGCCCGCAGCCTCTGCAGCGCCGGTTCGATCCCCAGCTGCTCCCCGGCCACTGGAGGAGGGTCCTGCATGGCACGCAGACCTCTCCTGCCGCCCGCTGCTCCCCTCAGCAGTGTACTTCGGTCCTTCTGCCTGCTCTGCTCCCCGCTCTGGCTCTGGTGAATTCTCTTACCCTCCTGCGCTTCTGACTGTACCCAGTGCTTGTATGTATGTATGTATGTATGTATGTATGTATGTATGTATAAATAAATAAATCTTTAAAAATATATAAAAAATTAAAAAAAATAAAATAAAAGGAAGAATAGCAATAGGTATGAGTAAGAATTTTCAGCAGTAGGTAGTTGCAAAAGTAATCATGAACTAAGTGGGAAAGGTGTCTTGTCTGCCTATGACTCTGCAGGTGTTTCTTTCACAAACTCTTTCCTTTTGCAAAGCAGCAGTTCTCCTGCCCACCTGTGACTATGCAGGTGCCTCACTTTTTCTCCTTTTCCTAATATGCATGTCCTTTTAAAATGTTCAAAAAAAAAAAAAAAAAAAAAAGAAGTGGAGAGAGTGGAAGTAAATGGCAGAAACAGATATATTGTTATCTGAGGAGAAGGTACAGATAATGGCTGGTAGTGAAAGTCAGAAATGTTACCACTGAGCTGAAAGTAAATCAGAGCCCTTTGAGCTGTACTGTAATACCTTAAATAACCAGGTTCTGTACCCATATGATGAACTTAAAGTTCCTTAAAATCATTCAGCCTGAATAAGTAAAGCTTAATCTTAATAGCTATTTATTAATTTATTTGCTTAAAAAAAAAAAAAAAGAAATTCTCACCTGCCACGGGAGTTACGCCTGGCAGTAGCAGGCTGGCAAGCTGGGCACTGCCACTCACCATCTGGTACTTCATAGAGGGCCGGCCTCAGACAAAACAGGTGGAAGGCTTTATTACACTCGTCACACAAGATTAGTTTGTCATCCTCACCTGTAAGGAGATAAACTTGTATAGCATTGTCGGGAGCATGGCAACAATCAGTGAGTTGTAAGAAAGAGCCGCTCACCTTCAATTAGCACCATGGAAGAACAAACATTCTACTATACTGCTACTCCATTTAAAAAGGAAAAAAAGCCTTTCTCTGAAAAGAAAGGTAGTGTAAACGAGACTACAGGTAACTTAAGGATCAAGTCTTATGACTTACATCCCAAAAACCTACCCAGGGTTAGGACAGGACAGTTTACATTTACTAAAAGGTAGTAAATATCAAGTGAGCAAGAAGTTTTGCTGCTCCTCTCTTACTAAGAAGTGAATCCACCATGAAGCATTACATTTTCTGCCCTTTCTCATTCCTGACCCTCCAACTCATATCTGATTTTTTCTTAAACTAATAGGTTTCCCTACATTTGAAATATAGCAAACCAACTTAACCTGGTCATTTTCCCTTGCCAACCTTCATTCTAAATCAGTTTTTAGGGCAAGTGAATGGCTTTTATACAGGTCTTTCTGTCTTTGGAAATGAAATTCTAACCTAATTCACAAAATTACTTGAGCCAATGAGAATCATTGGGAAGTTTTAAGCCATGAAGTTGCTTTTGCACATGTGAACTCCGAAAGTTCTCAGTTTTAAACAGTCCCAAATGCCTTGCTCTACTGGACTCTGCTAAAGCCATGGACCAGCGGTAGTCTTCACAATGAGCAAATATTGCCCTCTGCTGGTACTACCTGCCTTACTTCACAGATGAGTCAAATTCAGGCAATAAAAAGATTTCAAAACAATAGTCAACTAATTTTGTTCCCTGTAGAAAATTTAACTGAAGAGGGCAAACACTCCCATTTTATACTTGGAGTTAAGGAGCAAAGGGTCTGCTCTGATTTGCTGTTATATGATTTCAAAGACTAGCATTTTATAAATCTCTAGGAGGTAATTCTTATCACATTTAAACATTATGTACACAGCTTTTATTTTTAGACTGAACGCTGTACTTAAAAAAATACTTTTTCGGGCCTCCCTGGTGGCGCAGGCGGTTGAGCGCCACTCTGTGAAGCTGTCCGCAGCCTGTGCAGTGCCGGTTCAATCCCCGCTGGCCTTGGAGCAACCCACATGGCAAGCAGACCTCTCCTGTCTCACCCGCTGCTCCCCTCAGCAGTGTATTTCGTCAGTCTGCCTGTTCTGTTCCCCACTCTGGTGAATCCTCTCACCCTCCCGCACCTCTGGCCTGTGCCCCAGCTCTTGTATAAATAAATCTTTAAAGGGCCTCCCCGGTGGCGCAGCGGTTGAGCGCTGGGTTGCGAGGCTGCCCGCGACCTCTGCAGTGCCGGTTCGATCCCCTGCTGCTCCCCGGCCACCAGAGGAGGGTCCCACATGGCGCGCAGACCTCTCCTGCCGCCCGCTGCTCCCCTCAGCAGTGTACTTCGGTCCTTCTGCCTGCTCTGCTCCCTTCTCTGGCTCTGGTGAATTCTCTCACCCTCCCGCGCTTCTGACTGTACTCAGTGCATGCATAAACAAAACAAAAAACAAACAAATAAAAAAAAAACAAAAAAAAAAAACATGCCTCTATAAAAAAAATAAAAAAAATTAAAAAAATCTTTAAAAAAAAAAGGGGGGGGGAACTTGAGTAATTTATGAATTCTGTACCTTATTAAATATAACCTTACTAAAAAAATTGTATGTGACAAAACAGAACGACATTTACAGAATGTTAATACTGTAGCAAAAATACTGAGGTTAAATACTGTCAATCCCCGGCCAGGCAGATAGCCCACATGACCCAGCAGACCTCTCCTGATTCGCCCGCTACTCCCCTGAGCAGTGCATTTCGGTCAATTTGCCTGTTCTGTTTCCCACTCTGTCTCTGGTGAATCCTCTCACCCCTCCCCCCACACCTTTGGCCTGTGCCCCAGCTCCTGTATGCATAAATAAAACTTTTAAAAAAAAAAAGAATATTGAGGTTGACTGTTAAGAGACATATTTAAATTGCGTATTAAGTGGTTATAGCCTAATTATTTATATAGAACACTCATTTGTAACATAGAGAACAATAGATGAAAATTTATCTCATTCGATGTTCAGAGATAAAAGGGTAAATCATTCTTCCCATTATTTTCTGTAGGTAAGTTTTTTTATATCGAAGCTGATGACAATTAAATTCTAACATTTTTGCCAAGCTGTGCAAGGAGAATGCTGAAGGTTATCACTATACATCACATTGCTATATAAGGATTCTTCTGGAGCCTTGCTGGTGGCACAAGGGATTAAGTCTCAGCATTACGAAGTTATCCACAGCCACTGCAGCATGAGTTTGATCCCCAGCCAGGGAGCCTCATCGTGCAGCAGACCTCTCCTGTCTCACCCACTGCTCCCCTCAGCAGTGTATTTGTCAATCCGCCTGTTCTGCTCCCCACTCTGTTGCTGGTGAATCCTCTCTCCCCTCTCTGGTCTATACAACAATTCTTCTATTCACTAATTCTAGCATATTTCCAAAATATATCCAACAATCCAGTTTTATTTCTGTTCTGGTGGCAGGAAGCCAAGGATCAGATACAAGCACAGGTGTATATATAAGCAGCAAGATTACAGTCAACAGATTGTGACAACTGAAAATGGCGGACAGTGATGCCCATGAAATCCCAACCATATCACCCTTCCAGGTCACAGAGTTCTTTAAGGGAGAAAAGATCTTGGGAATGAAAGTCGTGGTCTCTAATACACTCAGATAAGCAACTTTAATCTAAATTTACCTTTCTTTCGGCAAACTTTGCATCTAGCATTTTCTGCTGACATATCCCACTTGATACAAGCATCAAGCATCCCAAGTAGAACATGCATTCTGGAAAAAGTCTGAGCTTCACGGATTGCTGTCTTCCATTTTTCCAAAGCAGATGCAACCTAAATAGAGACCAAACCAGACCAGCATTACTACATTTACCTCAGTGACATGAAATGTAGATAATTCACATAATATTAACAATGTGTACATAATGGGGGAGAACCAGGAACAGATAAAAATATGAGAACATTCGCAGTACACTTGAATCCTAGCGTTCCTCCAATATAAGCCACTTATCTCACAGAAAAAACAAAATCAAGACTCTGAAGGATGAAAAAATTTTGTCAAAGGTCACATAAAGAATTAAATAGGTTGGGCCTCCCTGGTGGCGCAAGGGGTTAAGACGCAACCTATGAAGCTGTCCCCTGCCACTGCACGAGTTTGATCCCCGGCCAGGGAGCTGATCCACATGGTGTAGCAGACCTGTCCTGACTCGCCTGCTGCTCCCCTCAGTGGTGTATTTCAGTCAATCTGCCTGTTCTGCTCCCCATTCTGTCTCTGGTGAATCCTCTCAGGCCCCACACCTCTGGCCTGTACCCTAGCTCTTGTACGCATAAATAAATAAATCTAAAAAAAAAAAAAAAAAGAAATAGGGAAAAACAGGTCTCTTTCCATTTTAGAAGATCTAGAAGTAGTAGTATCTACAAAACATTCTACAACCCTTAAAAATATTAAGTATCTGAGCCTCCCTGGTGGCACAGGGGTGAAAGGCTCAGCACTATGAAGCTATTGGCAGCCACTGCAGCAGGAGTTCCATCCCCGGCCAGGGAGCTAACCCCTGGCACAGCAGACCTCTCCTGTCTCGCCTGCTGCTCCCCTCAGCAGTGTATTTCAGTCGATCTGCCTGACAGAGTGCTCCCCACTCTCTCTCTGGTGAATCCTCTCACCACCCCCTGGCCTACACCCCAGTTCTTCTATGCATAAAGAAATAAAAATAAGTCTTTAAAAAATATATTATGTATCCAATAAGAAAGATTCCTCTTGACTTTACTACCAACTACTAATTAAGGTGAAAAATTTAAAGCCCAGGGGTTAGCCTAACTCCATTCTGGGCAGTTACTTTTAGCATCCTTCCATCATGAGAAAATGCAAACTAACTAAGAATCAACTCAAGCAAAATATAGTTTGGATGGCAGAAAATACAATTGGAAATTTCAATAATAAACACAACCCTTTCCCCTATAAAAAACACATTCTGAGGAACAGAAATATCATTTTAGGGTAAATCATTTCTTTATATTATTTACCTTATTAGTCCAAAGATATTTTTTCAAAGCTTTTCTTCTCCCTAATGATTAGCTGAGCATCCACATAAGCAAATGCCAATATACAGGGTATTGTTCTCAGACAGCGAGAAAATGCACCAGAGATGTACAAGGAAAAGCTTATGCGATCCACCAAAAGCTGAGACTCGGTTATCTTAGTGCCATCAACCTTGTGGAAGTCACTTGTCTTACAGTCATGACTGAACTAAACATCAGGTTAGCAATGAATAACCTTGCTACTTATACAACTAAGCTGGCTCTAGTTGACACAATCACACTGAATTTCACTGTCCTAGCCTACGAAAAGAGACTTACGTCTTCCTTCTTTAGGAAAGGTCGGTTATTCTTTAAAATAGAGCTGCCAAAGAAAAAGGATAATTGAGATATTTTTGAAACTACGGTGTACAGGTTAAGGGAGGGGATTAAAAGCTGACCTTGCTCTTTCCTACAGATACAGAAAGCCTTGTATACATTTATGCATAACAAGAAATAATATAAGCACAATCAAAAATCTATTTAAAAGGCTATTGCAGTTCTAGTGGAAACTAACTCATTCCTTACTCTGAACCCCACTGCAGGTATTTCAACATCTGCCTTCAAAACACATCACAATTTCCTTCCTTCCCTATTCAGAACTCCTTAATAAGTGGGAGTTCAAAATCATAGCTGCCTCACTGATATTCTCCATGATGTAATGGAGAGCTGACACACAGCACCACAGATTGTCTTATTGAAAGAATAACCCAAGTATCTTCAATGAGATATAATTTAGTAATTCTAGGTTCTTAAAAAGTTCTTTAAGGGCCTGCCTGGTGGCGCAAGGGGTTAAGCACCACACTATGAAGTAATCCGCAGCCTCTACGCACGAGTTTAATCCCCGGCTGGTCAGGGAACAACCCACATAATGAAGCAGACCTCTCCTGACTCCCCCGCTGCTCCCCTCAGCAGTGTACTTCGGTCCATCTGCCTGTTCTGTTCCCCATTCTGTCTCTGGGGAATCCTCTCATCCCCAGCATCTCTGGCTTGTACCCCCATTCTTGTATGAATAAATAAATAAATCTTAAAAAAAAAAAGTTCTTTAAAAGAGTGTTATTGAGGGCCTCCCCGGTGGCGCAGCGGTTGAGCGCTGGGCTGCGAAGCTGCCTACAGCCTCTGCAGCACCGGTTCAATCCCTGGCCGCCGGCAAGGGTCCCACATGGTGTGGCAGACCTCTCCTGCCACGCCCACTGCTCCCCTCAGCAGTGTACTTCGTCAGTCTGCCTGTTCTGCTCCCTGCTCTGGCTCTGGTGAATTCTCTCACCCTCCTGCGCTTCTGACTATACCCAGTGCTTGTATAAAAAGAAGAAGGAAAAAAAAAGTGTTATTGAGAAGAGGCAGGGAATAAGTTCAAATGGGCTTTGCTGTCCTCTAGTGGATAGTCAGATACACAAATATTAAAAAAAAAAAAAGTCCTATCAGCACACAGCATGAATTTTACTTATTCCCTACAAATTATAAGTTAAGTACTCAATAGCTCATCTGACCTCATTAAGATAAAATAACTATTTGAGAGCTTAGAAATAAACTTATTTAACCTCATTTAAATAACATTTGAGATATAATTTATATATTAATAAGTTCACCATGTGAAGTACAGTCAATGGTTTTTCATATATTTGCAGGGTTGTGCAACTATATTTTGCAATATAATCTTAAATTTAGAATATTTTCATCACTCCCCCACCCCCAAAATAAAAGAAACCCTGACCCCATTAAGAGTCATTCCTCATTCCTTACCCTAAGCCAACACACTTCTTCAGTGCTAGGCAACCCCCAATCTACTTTTGGTCTAGGCAATCTAATCTGCCTATTCTGGACATTTTATGTAACACGAATGTGGTCGCTGTGACTGGTTTCTTCTCAGTTTTCTAGGTTCGCCCACTCTGTTACATGTAGCACATACAACAGCATTTCTTTCTTTTTTTTTTTTTTTAAAGATTTATTTATTTATTTATGCGGAGAAGAAATGGGGCATAGGCTAGAGGTGCGGGGCGCAGAGGGGTGGTAAGAGGACTCACCAGAGACAGAGTGGGGAGCAGAGCAGGCAGATCTACTGAAATACACTACTAAGGGGAGCAGCGGGCGATAGATGGGAGCGATCTGTGGCACCATATGTGGGTTAGCAACCCGGTCAGGGATCAAACTCAGGCCACAGAGGTGATGGTGTGATAGCACCAAGACGTAACACCTACACCACCAGGGAGGCCAACTTCATTCCACCTTAATTGCTGAGTAATGTCCACTGAATGAATATATTACATTTTGTTTATTCATTCATTGGTCAACTGGGGGGGGGGGCGGGTTCCATTTTTTGGCTATTCTGAGTAACACTGCTATGAACACTTGTACATGCTTGTATAAAGTTTATTTTTCATGGAAAAGAAAATTTGCCCAAGGTCTCATAGCAATTTAGCATCATGTCTCCTCTCCAGGCACCAGACTCCCAATCCATTGCTCCTCACATTATACATATTGAACAATCATTAGCATCCTATTGTATCCTGAGGTTTCCACTTAGATTAGCCTAGATTCCAATCAGCCTAGATTCTAACAGTCTCTAACAACAAGGACTCAAGATTTGAAAGAACATCCTGGTCTCCTCCCCCAGCATAAAATTCCACAGTCCAGAACATTAAAAACAAAAACCAAAAACGACTACCATATTCAGACAGTTTTTTTTAAAACAAACAGCATCAAGATAAAATTCTGACATTCAACACTGGTGTCATTCAATAAAATTTTCTCTCTTGCAGTGTCACTGACATGCTAGACACTTCTGATAGAAAATTCAAATTCTCTGTTTAAATAAAGGAGAAGCCAGCTTATATGTAAGTCATCATTTGTCCCTTTGCCTAACAATAAAAAGACATATTATCTTGACAAAAATATAATGAGGATTCAAGTCATATTCTCCACAAAAGAACGTTAAGATGGAAAAACAGATAAATGGGTTGTCAGGACAATACATCCAAAGTAAACAGAGAGCCTAACAGAATCTATGATTTTGCCAAAGCATATATCACCTTTCCTATTTAACACAAGATAATGAAATCAACATTAAATATTTGAATTATCAACTATTACAAAGAGATTGGAAAGATAATTTACTTTTATAAATAAGAAAACTGAGGCCCAGATTAGAGACCAGTTTTGGTTCACTGAACAACCTAGTGCCAGCTGAAAAACCCTGGCTGTGCTAAGTGGAACCCTTCAAAGCAAAAGACAGTGGAAAATTTCAGAATTGTGGCAAAGCTGACCTTTGGCAGGGAACCACAGGGCATAATGCCATTTTAATGGAGAACATTGTTGACCTACTTAAGTAGGCAACCTAATTGATTTTCCAAGAAACTCTTTCATGCTTTCCACTTGTGGACTTATGTCTGGGCCCCAAGGTTAAATCTACAACTGCTCTTATTTTCCTTCTCAACTAAGCTGAGAATCAGTCTCCGACAGCATTTATCTAAGTGAATCCTACTTTTCTTTTCTGCTTATTACCCAAATCATCTTCCCTGTATCACTGACCCTCAACCTCAGGGAAAACCTCAGAGGGAATATGACAACTGGCATACAAATATCTAAGGAGCTTTAGAGAGTAGACTCATCCTGTGTAAACTAAGAGGACAAAACATGACATAGTTGTCAATGATGCCAATTTCAGCTCAATCTAACAAAGCTTAATTCCTACTTTATTCTTCAAAATGTAATTGAGAGTATTCTCGCCTTTGGGAAGTTTTACTTGCCATCGGTGAGCCAAGTACTCTTTCTCATCAGTACTGCCACATTACTATAACCATTTTTCACACTCCAACAAAGTTCCTTGAAAGTGACGGCTTCTAATTTTTACTCATGGCTGTAAGCCAGATACTTGTGAAGGGAAAGAAAGAGAGAAGCCACAAGTTAGGGGAAAGTACTCTATTGGATAATGTTGGGACTCCCTTAAATGCAGTGTTTTCAAATCCTTTTCTTCATTTAATCTTAAGCAGAAATCTATTACACAGACAAAAATGGAACTGCTATTTATTATAATAAGGAAAAATTGAAGATAACATAATATTCAGTAGTAAAGAATTAAGATGTTAAAATAACATAGTATTAGGAAAATCTATTTGGACTGACAAGGAAAAGGGAACAGATGTTCAGAACATGCTGATACCAAAGGGCACCTGCACTCGATGTTTATAGCAGCACTATTTACAATAGCTAAGCTTTGGAAACACCCTAAATGGCCAAAAATAGATGACTGGCTCAAGAAGATGTGGCGCATATACACAATGGAGTATTACTCAGCAATCAAAAAAGATAAACGCATGCAATTTGCAGCAACATGGATGGAGCTGGAAGGGATTATGCTCAGTGAAATAAGCCAGAAAGAAAAAGAAAAATACTGGATGGTCTCACTCATAGCAGGAATCTAGAAAACCTAAATAAGGGACCAGGAAAAGGAATAATTGTAAGAAAGAAAAAATCGAAATCAACAAACAACTATATTTTGGGGCCAAAATAAGGAGGGTGCAATTGTATGGGGAATCTAAAAATTAAAAAAAAAAAAATCTAATATTAATACCATGGGGGTGGGGGGGGAGGGGGGGATGGAGAACATGCTAAAAATGAAAAATTGCAGAACATCACATTGTGCAAAAACCTAACAAAAATATCTTTGTATATAGGAAACACATTAAAGCTATTAAATTATATCCTTAGAGGGAAAGGGAAACTACGATGAGAATTCTTTCACATTTTAGTTACCTCTCACACTTGATTTACTTATATGCTCTTAAAAAACAAAAAACAAAAACACAGAAAACTGAATAGCCACACACCAAAGCATGAAGTTTGACCCTTACTTTATACTACTTACAAAAATTAATTTAAAATGGATCAAAAATCTAGAAAGAACTAAAACTGTAAAACTTCTAGAAAGAAACGCAAGGGGGAAAGCTTCATAACACTGGATTTGACAACGTTTACTGGATATGACACCAAAAACAGAAGCAAGTAAAAAATAAATAAATAAATAAACATGAACTTCAAAATTCAAAACTTTTTTATAATTAAAAAAATGAATGAAAAGGCAGCTCATTTAATGGAAGATATTTGCAAATCACCATTTATAAAGGATGATTATCCAGAATATGTAAAGAATCCAGAGAGCTCGATAACAACAAAAAAAACCCAAGCAGCCCAATTAAAAAATAGTCAAAGGACTTGAGTAGACATATCCCCAAATGGTCAAAATAAGTACATGAAAAGCTGTTCAACAGTACTAATCACTAGGGAAATGCAATTCACTCACACCCACTACCAAAGAAACAAACCAGTAAGTACTGATGTGTACATACTGGCAGTGTGAAGAAATCAGAAATGCAGTCACTGTGGGAAGTGTTAGAGTACATCCCCAGAAATTCAGTAGAATTACTATATGATCCAAAAATTCTACTTCTGGGCATATATCCAAGAGAACTAAAAGTAGGGACTGGGGGCCTCCTTGGTGGCGCAAGGGGTTAAGACGCAACCTATCAAGCTGTCCGCAGCCACTGCAGCATGAGTTCGATCCCCCGACAGGGAGCTACCCACATGGCGGAGCAGACCGCTCCTGACTCGCCCGCTGCTCCCCTCGGCAGTGTATTTCAGTCAATCTGCCTTCTCTGTAACCCCACTCTGTCTTTGGTGAACCCTCTCACCCCCTGCACCTCTGGCCTGTACCCCAGTTCTCATATGCATGAATAAATAAATCTTTAAAAAAAAAAAAAAGGAGGGACTGGAACATATTTATACACTCATGTTCACAGTTAAAAGGTAGAAGTGACTCAACTGTCCACTGGGGGATGAATAAATAATGTGCCATATTCATATAATGGAATATTACTGTCTTAAAAAAGAAGGAAATTCTGGCACATGCTACATGTCAAACCCACAGACACAGAAAACGGTCTTGAGGAATTATGGAGAAAGAGAAATAGGTAGTGAAGACAGGGTATATCAATTTGGGAAGATGAAAACATTCTGGAGATGGATGGTGGTGATAGCTGCAGAACATGTGAATGTAGTGGTATGTACCTATATATAGAAAAATGAGTAGAACATTAATTTGTACATTATTTGTATTTTACCACAATTTTTAACATTTAATAACTACTACCACGTTAAAAAAAAAAAAAACAATCAGTCTGGTAAAGGGAGATGGGTCACTGTGACCCATTATTCAGTCCTAAAGGCAGGGGCGTTGTGCTCCACACAATAGTTCACAAATCACAAATTCTAGTAAGAGAGATAAAAATGGGAACACTGGCTCAGGAATTAGTGCTTAGAGGCTAAAAATCATAGGGCTACACTTTTAAAACCAAATCACACTTTTCTACAAAGTCATAACTACATCTTCACTAAATACCTTAGCTTCCTCTGCCATTTTTTTCTCCTCATCTACTTCTTCAGTCTTTGCTGAATCTTCACTTTGGAGTTTTCTTCTCTTCTGCTTGGGAGCCATGAAGCCTTGGAGAAATTTCTTTATGACACTGGCTTGAAGGGCAATCACACACTCACCAAAATCCTTAAGTTTCTCTAACGAGATCACCTAAAGGAAATAATATAAAAACCAGATTGAGGCCAAGAGAAAAATGAAACAAGATGATCCTTCAACTAAATTCAAATCAACTTAGACCCAAAGGGTCACATAACATTTTAACTGGGCTCCTGAATCCAACAGATGGTTTAGGTATTTAAAAGGAGCTGACTACTCCATTTTCCCAGGAAAGGATAATCAGGATGCTAAAACTTGCTCTAAGGAAGGTGCACAACTCACTAATACACTCTTATGAGTTTGGAACTCATGTGTGCAAACTAAAGTCTCAAGGCAAAGAAAATCTGAAAAGAAAAGTAAAAATTTACTGAACTAATGACTTATATAATAAGACAGATAGTATGCTTCACAAACAATCTAATTTAAGCCTCATTTTTTATTTTATGGATGAAAAATCAGAAGCGATTTCACCTGAATTCAATTCATGCTCTTAAATATCAAACACTACCTTGTTAATGAAGTAGCACAAAGAAGGCAACTGATAAATAACTAAGTAAACAAAAAAAAGGTGTAATATTTGAAATTGGCCAAATCTTTTGGTTGAATAATTCTTCAGAAAAGCACCAAGCACTCAAAAGATGCTTAAATTCTTTTCCCCAAGAAATTAGCAAGAATTCATGACCAGGCTAATTAAAAAGAAAATCAGAGGGGAGGAAAAAAGAAGGGAAGGAGGGAGGGAAGGAGGGAGGGAGGAAGAGTTGCATACATAAGATGCATATATAATTTGCTGAATCTAACAGCAAAGGAAATAAAAAGGAAACACAAAATTCTGACAATAAAAGATTTTTCATATGAATTCCATGGGTCTTTATGTACCCCCAAAGTGGTATAAAGACTAAAAGAAATGGAAAGTTTTATAAACTGGGAAAAACTTATAAAAAAATATATAAATGCTGACAAAATAAAAATCAAACAAGTATAGTGCATAAGCTACAATGCACATCAATAAGTTGAAAAGACCCACAAATATCAACATGCGTAGAATTATATGGACTTTGATTTAAATTTAGTAAAAACAAAAAAAATTACAGTAACTGTATAGTATACTCCAATCTTCTCTCCAGCTTTTACACCTAAACCTAACTAATGTGGGGCATGGATCCTTTTCAATTGTTTCATCTAGAGTAGGTCTTTAAGGCCCTTTAAAGCAGTAAATGATAGTACTATAAACAAGCCAGAGGATGTACCCAATTAACATAAAAAATGTTATCCAACATAAGCATAATTATACTGAGCAGATGAGATGTAAAGAATGGACAAAAACAGGATATACAAACATGTCTCATACTTTAAAACAACTTAAATAATCATCAAGAGAGTAGATACATTGGGGTTAGAGTCACAGAACAGGATACAGAAAGAAAAATAATGGAGTTCAGTTATAAAACATAGTTATAAAAATAATGCTCAATAAAGATAGTAAAAGACTACGTATTACCTGGTAGTCTTTTAAAAGTTCAAAACCAAGCAAAACAAAATAACAAAGAAAAAATTGTAAGTTTTGTTTTGATTCCTACCAGACAATCTAACCTTTGACTGGAAGGATAACTCTGTTCACATTTAGAGAATAGAATTCCCATCTATTCACATGAGAATAGATATGTTAAATAATGTTATGTAACTAAGGCTCCAGAACCACAGTTTTGGGTCATTAGATTTTTTTGGATACCAGCATAAGACTGCAGAGGAAAAATAAACTATGTATATAATGAATTTTTGATTCTGCATGTGTTTCAAGACACACCCCAAAAGATTTCAGGGTCATCTGAGAAAATAAAAAGCAGTATCACTTTTAAATTGTGTCTCCATGAGTAACAGCTTTCAGAGGGTGATTTTTTAATATTCTCACCCGAGCTTCAAAATCTGATGTTTCCTCCACATAACCAAGTCCCCCTTTTTGTAACCTTGTTGCAACTTCAATGAGATCACTACGGAGAAAGTTTAAGAGTTCCTGGTTGCCATCACAGGATTTTAGACCCAAATTTGGCTTCCGGGCCAGATGAATAGAATGAATAATGTCTTGGTACCTAGAAAAGTTGGGGCAAGGGGAAGGAAGAATAAAGAAAATGTTCAATAAATGTCAATTATTTGAATGCCATGTTTTATTTCTACAAGACAGATCTAAACGATTTCATCTCTTGGTGTTTAATAGTTCTGTTTCTTTTGTATTTCTTGCATAAATCTTCAAATTTCTCTTCTTTCTAAACTGAAGAGATACATAACTTACTTACTGACTCACTTAAAAAACACATATTCTGGGGGCCTCCCTGGTGGCACAGGCGGTTGAGCAGTGGTGGTTGGACCCCCACTGGCCAGGGAGCAACCCACATGGCTCAGCAGACCTCTCCTGTCTCGGCCACTGCTCCCCTTGGCAGTGTATTTCAGTCATTCTGCCTGTTCATTTCCCTGCTCTATCTCTAGTGAATCCTCTCAACCTCCCGCACATCTGGTCTGTAACCCAGTTCTTGTATAAATAAATAAATCTTAAAAAAAAAAACAAAACATACTGGGCCTCCCCGGTGGCGCAGCGGTTGAGCGCTGGGTTGTGAAGCTGCCCGCAGCCTCTGCAGCGCTGGTTCGATCCCCAGCTGCTCCCCGGCCACCAGGGAAGTGTCCCACATGGCGCGCAGACCTCTCCTGCCGCCTGCTGCTCCCCTCAGCAGTGTACTTCATCAGTCTGCCTGTTCTGCTCCCTGCTCTGGCTCTGGTGAATTCTCTCATCCTCCCACACTTCTGACTGTACCCAGTGCTTGTATAAACAAATACATAAATCTTAAAAAATAAATAAATAAAAATAAAGTGTACAAGTCTTTAAAAAAAAATACATTCTGTATTTGATAATTCAGTGTCTGAAGAATACTGCTTTTTCCTAGTTCTCATTCATGTTACCATCTGGTTCCATGTTTATTTTGTGACTATTTTTGCCATGAGTTTCATGAAATTTTATCAACGAGAATTCTTTGAGGCCTGATTTGAAGTGGTGTTCCTCCAGTGAGAAATTGCACTTGCTTATGTCAGCTGCCAGGAATTGCTACCAACCTGAGACAACTTTAAATCAGCTATCTGCCTGGAATTCTTCACAACACAGAGTAAGAATCTGAGATGAAAACCCACACAAGGATGTTCAAGTTCACTCTCACACTAATGATTAACCCTCTGAAGTCCCAGCAACAAAAATCTCTACCCTAGGTAAGCCATAACCTTCACTGAAAAGTAAAGCTCAACGTTATCTAAGTACTTTCTTCTTTCTTAATAATAAGGGTTTTATTTTTTTTTTAAAGTATGTTTTATCAGTTATTTATTTATTTATTTATTTTTAAAAAAGATTCACTTATTTTTATTTATTTATACAAGCACTGGGTACAGTCAGAAGAGCGGGAGGGTGAGAGAATTCACCAGAGCCAGAGCGGGGAGCAGAGCAGGCAGAGGGACCGAAGTACACTGCTGAGGGGAGCAGCGGGCGGCAGGAGAGGTCTGCGCGCCATGTGGGACCCTCCTCCGGCGGCTGGGGAGCAGCCGGGGATTGAACCAGCGCTGCAGAGGCTACGTGCAGCCCCGCAACCCAGAGCTCAACTGCTGCGCCACTGGGGAGGCCCAATAATAAGGGTTTTAAAAAAAAAATTATTGTCCTCTGGTTTTCTTTCACTGCTTTTTAGATACATCATTTCCCTTTTATTTTCTCCTTTGATCTCAGTGTTATCTAGAATATAACTTACTACCAGTTAAGATCTTTTTGAACATCTTTAAGGAATTTGTTTATAATTTTACTGTCATCAATCAGAGACTCTATCCTGCAGTTCATTACCTTTTTAAATCTGCTGAGATTGTTTTTATGGCTAAGCAGATGCCAATTTTATAAATGTTCAATGGATATAATAAAAACTTTGTTTCCAATTGGCCTGGCCTTTTTTTTGTACACTCATTTTTAATTATCCCAGACTACCTAATACTTAACAGTCAAGTTCAAAAATAAGTTTTGCGCCCCATGTTCAATAAAGCAGAAAAAAAAAAAAAAAGTATTAAGTTTTGTTTTGAATTCTGACAATCTCTAACCCTCAAAGGAAAGATTAAATATGTTCACATTTAAAGAATGAAAGAATACAACATACGAGGCTATCAAATACTTTAACCAAATTGCAGAAACATATAACTGTATGCCTTTCCTGTTTTGTGTACTAACATCCACCCTCACCTTACTTTGCCTAGTCACATCTGTATTAAAGACAGTAGGATTCTGGGGCCTCCCTGGTGGCGCAAGAGGTTAAGTCTTAGCACTATTAAGCTATCAGCAGCCACTGCAGCAAGAGTTTGATGCCTGGCCAGGGAGACAGCCCACATGGCTCAGCAGACCTCTCCTGTCTCACCTGCTATTCCTCCTCAGCAGTGTATTTCAGTCAACCCACCTTTTCTGCTCCCCACTCTGTCTCTGGTGAATCCTCTTGCCCCCTCCAAATCTCTGGTCTACACCCCAGCCCTTATATACATAAATAAATCATAAAAAAAAAAAAAAAATCAACAAAAAAAACAGGGCCTCCCCTAGTGGCGCAGTGGTTGAGCACTGGCCTGCGAAGCTGCCTGCAGCCTCTGCAGCACCGGTTCGATCCCTGGCCACCGGCGAGGGTCCCACATGGCGCGATAGACCTCTCCTGCCTCTTCCGCTGCTCCCCTCAAGCAGTGTATTTCTTCGTCAGTCTGCCTGTTCTGCTCCCCGCTCTGGCTCTGGTGAATTCTCTCACCCTCCCGCGCTTCTGACTGTACCCCAGTGCTTGTATAAATAAATAAATATTTAAACAAAACAAAACAGTAGGATTCTGAATACAATTTTAATGTATGCATGCAGCAAACTAAAACCAACATATCTATTATTATTCATAAAAATTTGGCAAAGTTGCAGAGTATGTGCTGAGCTTATTTCCCTTCTCGCTTCAAACAAATTCAACTGTAAACACATGAAGCCAGAATTTAAGTGATCTTGACTGAAACTTTACCCTAGCTTTGTTAGAAACAGAGGCTATAAGGAGGACACGAGCAATCTGCAAAGAAGAGTTTCTGATTTGGGTGGCTTTTTTTTTTTTTTTTTGAGATATAATTCACATAACATTAAACTTACCATTTTAAAGCATACATTTTCATTGATTTTTATGCTGTAGAAACATTAAAACTACCTAATTTCAAAACATTTCAATACCACAGAAAGAAATTCCATACCTGTGAACAGTCACTCACAATTCTACCCTTCTCTATATTCTGGCAACCACTAATCTACTTTTTGTCTCTATGGACTTGCCTATTCCATTGGCTGTCTCACATAAATAGAATTACACAATATGCAGCTGCAAGTCAGGAGAGGTTTGCTGTGCCATGTGGGTAGCTCCCTGGCCGGGGATCAAACTTGTGCTGCAATGGTTGCAGATAGCTTCGTAGTGCTATGTCTTTACCCACTGTGCCACTAAGGAGGCCCCTGCATTTCTTTTTATGGCTGAATTTGTGGATATACAACATTTTGTTTATCCACCCATCAGCTGATAGATATTTAGAATGTTTTCATGTTTTGGCTACTCTGAATATTCATAAAAAAATTTTGAACATTGGGCCTACCTGGTGGCAAGCACCGCACTATGAAGCAATCCGCAGCCTCTGCAGCACGAGTTCGATCCCCAGCCGGCCAGGGAGCAACTCACGTGGCGATGCAGACCTCTCCTATCTTGCTCGCTGCTCCCCTCAGCAGTGTACTTTGGTCAATCTGCCTGTTCTGTTTCCCACTGTCTCTGGTGAATCCTCTCACACCACCCCCTAACCGCCCCCCGCATCTCTGGCCTGTACCCCAGCTCTTGTATGCATAAATAAATAATAAAAAATTTTTTTGAACATCAACTAATGTGGAGTTGTATTTATAAGGCTGCCTAACTACAATGAGGTTGCCAGCTTGAAGGTGGGCGTGCTACCCTCTATATACATGGCTTGAAAGACTATTTTCCCAAGTAAGCTCTTATTTCTTCCATTAAACAAAGAAAACACCAAGCTACAAAAACATCAAAAATTACATTGTTTATAATTACTTGAATAGCTTTACAGATAAGCAAAAGTATCTAAGACACTTATATCTAATGTTGAAGAGAAGATGTGAGGAACAAGATGAAAATCCTTACCTCTTCTCTAGTCTCTCTTTGAGTTGACTTTCTCTAATTCCCTGAGGATGAAGGCAATTTAGCAGCTCATCCAGTTCTTTCTGACTATCACATAAAAACCTGCAGGGACAAAACAGACCTGATCACTAGGGAGGAAAAACAAAAATCCCCCAAACACTAAAGGGATCTAGGCTTGATGGTGGGATTTAGAAGAGCAAAAATTCCAAACTCTCTCACAAGCAGAACAAATAATTTACTGTTTCATGAAGCCTAAAGTTAACTTTATCCTAGGCCACCGAAGCCAATGTTTCCTACTAAAATTCAGATGAGTTTTAGTACATTAATAAGCACATTTGTCCATTAAACCTTCAAAGAATAAGCTTATATCCAAAAAATAAAAGATGAAAGTCATTAAGCCAAAGATAATCATAACTAAAGCAGTAAAAGCAATCACAAAGTAGAAAAAAATCATTTTAAAAAACCTAGCTCCCTGCCTACAAAAGCAGAATCAACACAAAGGGAGAGCAATGGCTATGTAAACAAATTTGTATTTCTTAATAAAGATAAAAATCCTAAATACTTCCATTCCCAAAGTTAATACACAGTATACCAAAAGTTACATGAGGGGGCAGCATGGAAATAAAATCCCACACCTTAGAAAAAACAAGAATTTTCTTATTAAGAAAAAAAAAAAAGCTCTGCTTTTAAAGCAATGAATGAATTTACATATCTAAGAAACTGAAGTCACACAAAAAGAATCTCAGCTAAATAATCACTCACTGGTATTGCCAGGTTAAATACTTTCTTAACAATGAAAAGGAAAAAGAATGAGCAACCACATGAATGCTCACATTACCATAAGTTCTGTCCTTGTTTGGGAGTTGTAGTCTCTACAGCAACTTCTGGTACATTTGTGTTCATGCTTACATTTTTGCCTAGGTTTGCTTTCTTACCTGTGAAAAATGTACACATTAGGTTGAATGTACTAAACATGTGATTCCAAGTTTCAAGCCTAAGCAACACACAGCGCCAAATCTAACAACCAGTATCATAGATACTGGTCATTAATTATATTCATGTGTCAAATAGGTGATAATTTACCTTAAACATCTCATAGCACATTATCTGAGATATTCTCTATACACTTGAATAATTATATAGTTGAAGGAGACTGTCTCACTTATTTTTAGCTAGGTATTTGCTATGTTCCTCCTCACCAGAATCATCCAAGACCTCAACTGTCTTGTATCACAGATGAAAAATTGGTCAGCACATAAGAAATACTGCAGAAATATCAATACATTTTAAAAGTGTAAAAGGATGAGTTTTACTTCAATTTAGCCCCTGACATCCTGACATTTCTAGAGCACAAAAGCTTGAAAACAACTTGCATAAAATTTAAGATCCAAACAGTCTAATATTCAAGCTCTTTATACACTAGGCCTAGAGCAAAGTTGGTAATCAAATATTAGTTTCCTTCCTTCTTTTTATGTATTTCACATCCTCCCACTCCACTCAAATATATCTACCTAATAAAACATAAAGACACTTTGTAAATGGAAAAGGTGACAGAATAATGACAGTCCTAAATATTGACCCCTCTTGAGTAGTATAAAATAAATAATAGATATACATACTACGGGGACAGTAGTCCTCATCAGGAGAATCTGCATGGTCTTTGCGGTGATGGCTGAATCGGTAATCAATGCTGTCATGTACCCAGCCTTTTTCAATGAACAATCCTGGAACTTCGTCTGAGAAGAGCCAGTATCTATAAATCACAACCACGTGTTAATAAAATGATAGCTCACGAATGCAGGATGACTTTACTGTTGAAGAAGATGATTATAGCATTCAAACATAAATTATAAAGCAAAAAGTACAAATTTTTTAAATTTAAAACTTATTTCGGGCCTCCCGAGGTGGTGCAGCAGGTGAGCGCTGGGCTGCAAAGCTGCCTGCAGCCTCTGCAGCGCTGGTTTGATCCCTGGCCACCCACAAGGGCCCCACATGGCGCGACAGACCTCTCCTGCCGCACTCACTGCTCCCCTCAGCAGTGTATTTTGTCAGTCTGCCTGTTCTGTTCCCCACTCTGGCTCTGGTGAATTCTCTCACCCTCCCGCGCTTCTGACTGTACTCAGTACTTGCATAAATAAATAAATCAATCTTTAAAAAAAAAAAAAAACTTATTTAATAGCTATAATTTTTGTAACTTTTAATACTTCTCTACTTTAGGTTTCATACATTGTATCTATTTAAAATATAATTTTTAAAGACCTTTATTACCATAATTTAAGCTTTATATTTGGACTATCTTCAAAAACAGGATCAGGTCTTCTTTAAATTTGTAATCCTAGGATTTGGCACAGTAAATATTCGATCAAGGGTAACAAGCAATTTAGGTTCTAAGATCCACAAATAGGGATGTTTATCTATCTTTAAGTACTTTAGACAATTTCGTAACTAGTAGCAATATAATGGCCCTACAATGGCAGAAATTAAGCTTAATAATTTACCTATTATGGTTTCGATCTGTACCAATAGGGGTTCTTCGCATGACTAGTTTTGCCTTGGCAATTCCTTCCTGGAAAGCCTTCTCAGCAGCTGCTTTGTGCTTTCGTATTCGTTCTTCTTCTGCTTCACGTTCTAATTTCACTGGTAAAGATAAAAAGAATTAACTAGATTTTTTTTTCTAGTGAATTCCACTCTTACAAATTAAATTAGACATTGAATGAAAATGCCTGGTTTAAAGTAGATTTTATAGAAATGCAGTTTCCTCCTAATTCTAATCTGCTTTTAGAAATGACATATAAGGCAGCAATTTCTACCAGGTTCCCAAATGTTCTTTGATTTTGCCATCAACTCAATGCAAAATCTCTCCTCTCCAAAATTTACCTACTTAATATTTTTAAATATTAATCTTACTAATTATTAATTTTAATCTTAAAATAGCCCTAAAATGAAATTAACTGAAACATTTTCTGACAGGACCAGTCACAGAAAGATCAAGGTGAGTAAAACAATAGCTATTTCAAATGAAACACATTTCAGTGGTAAGGAATTTGACAGTAAATCAGCTTATTAGTCTTGGTTAAAAACAACAAAAAATAAGGGCAGGAAAGTACTTTGGATAGTCACCATTACTGCATACTGAATACTATTCTATTTCTGTTGATTCACCACATTGATTTATTTATCTAGACAGAAATTTTCCTCAACAACAAAAGTACAGTAATTTTGCCTTTTAAGTTTTTCCATAACTATCACAAAATTTGATACTGTAAGTAACAGAGCACTGCTAATTACAATGCCAGAATTTTTAACCTTGACACCTTACTGATAATTCCATCTACATACAATATGGTAAGAACCTGAAAAATTTATCAGTCTAAAGACATTACCTTAAAAAATCAGGACAAATCTTTTTTAAAACCAACATGGTACTTGTTACCTTTAATAAACAGTTTTCTAGTATGAATGAAACTATGTTTGCAAGTGTTTACAGCAGAGTACAGAATAAGATAAACAATAACAAGTATATAATAGTTGCATCCCTGCCCTCAATCACAGGTTATATGTCTGGCAGTTTTTATAGTACAAATGGGATACACAGTACGTTTTTCCCCTTACATACATATACACGATAAGGCTTAATTTATAAATTAAGCACAATAAGAGACTAATAACACCAACAAAATAGGCCATTTATAACAATATGCTGTAATATAAGTCAAACTATCTCAAAATATCTTATTGTACATATTTTCAGGCCACGGTTAATGATGAGTAACTAAAACTACAGTGATTAAAATTGCAGATAAGGGGAAACTAATGTAATGGTCAAATCACAACATAGGAAAAGCTTTCTCAAACAGCTACAAACAAAAACAATCTGGGGGAAGTCATCAAAAGGCCAGGTTTCCTCCATGGTGGTGCAATGGGTCAATTCTCAGCACTATGAAGCAATCAGCAGCTACTGCAAGCAAGAGTTCGATCCCCTGCTAGGGAGCTAACCCACATGGTGCAGCAGACCTCTCCTGTCTCACCTGCTGCTCGCCTCAGCAATGTATTTCAGTCAATCCACTGTTCTGCTCCCTACTCTGTCTCTGGTGAATCCTCTTACCCCTTCCGTGCCCCCGCACCTCTGGCCTACACCCCAGCTCTTGTATGCATAAATCAATCTTTATTTTTTTTAAAGATTTATTTATGCATACAAGAAGTGGGGTACAGGCCAGAGGTGGGGGAGGAGGGTGAGAGGATTCACCAGGGACAGAGTGGGGAGCAGAACAGGCAGATCTATTGAAATACATGGCTGAGGGGAGCAGCAGGTGAGACAGGAGAGGTCTGCTGCGCCACGTGGGTCACTTCCCTGGCTGGCCATGGATCGAACTCCATAGTGCTGCAGTGGCTGGCAGTAGCTTGATAGCGCTGTCTTTAACCCCTGTGCCACCAGGGAGGCCCTAAATAAATCTTTAAAAAAAAAAAAAAAGTACACCAGGTTTAATTTCAGAGCTTATAGCACTAAACTAAATAAATAGCAAAAGACCTGAACTCTAATCAAATACTGGACTGGGCAAAATAATATTTTTTTTCCTTTAATTCCCCATATAAATAACAGAGCATCACGTGCTTTTCCTTTTTCCTATGTTAAAGATTAATCCTAACACAGAGGAACACTTCAAAAAATTTAACAAATTATTATACATTATGTAAAATATAGCTGAAGTTATATATACAGTTAGATTATTATTTCAAATACAATTAGACTTTCTGTATAGGTATTTAAAATTAAAAGCACATATACACACATACACACAAGATATATATGTAAAAACATTTCGGTGGCCTTAAGGAGTATAAACAAAAATCTACTTTAAAAAGAAATTTTGTATATTTTCTAATGAAAGAACTTCTCAAGTAAAAAAATTGTCTAACTTAACCTAAAATCTCTCATACAAAATTTAAGACAATTTATTTCTAGGTATCTGCCCATCTCTCTTTAGTCTCCACTTCTGCAAATAAATGGTATTTACCCATTTTCATTTCATAAGCTAAAAAGTTTCATGTGGCTAGACACTTTAACAGTAATCAATACAATTTAGTCTTAAAGGAAAAACAAAAACTGCAGGGGAAACACAAACTTAATTTACTAGGAAGATTCTTTTGCAACTAATAGCAACCCTGAAACTAATATTTTACTAAGATTGATGAATTAAACAAATGTACTGACTGGTGCCAGGGTCTTCACAATGCAAGAAGCGAGATAAAAACATGAATGAAGGATGGCAAAGAAGAATTCTTGGGTGCTAAGAATTAATTAGGAATAAATTTAACAAAGTACCAAATTTTTACTCTAAAAAAAATTATTGAAACATATTAAAAATCCAAATAAATTGAAAATATCTTGTGTTCATGGATCAGACAAAATATTAAGATGGCAAGAATCTCAAAATTGAGCTATAAGGGTTTTTTATTAATTTATATATATTTTACATCACTGTTCATTTTTGTACAATGTTTGCTTTCTCCTGTCAGGTGTAGTCCCCATAAAATCCCCACCACTAATTAATTCACCTGTGCACATCACCATAGTCCCTCTCCCTCCCCCTCCCCCTCCCCTGCAGAATGTCTCTGATTTACAGTTGTTTGTAAATTTTGTTATTTTTTTATTATTGTTATTTTTCTGATCCCTTATTTGATTCCCCTATATTCCTGCTATAAGTGAAACCAATCGATATTTTTCTTTTTCCTTCTGCCTTATTTCACTGAGCATAATTCCTCCCATCTCCATCCATGTTGCCACAAATGGCCAGAGTTTATCTTATTTGATTGCAAAATAGTATTCCATTGTGTATATATGCACATCTTGTTGCTCTATAGGTTTAACACAGTCCCTTATCAGACTTCCAGCTGATTTCTTTGAAGAAATTAAACAGATTCTAAAATTACTGTGAAACCTCAAAAGGATCCCAAGAGTCAAAACAATCCAGAAAAGAACAAGTTAGGGGGTTCACTCTTCCCCAATTTAAAATTTATCCCTTACAGTAACATAAGACACTGTGGTATTGTCGTTAGGAGATACAATCAATGGAATAGAAATTGAGAGTTGAGAAGAAATAAATCAATGTTGTCTATGTCAAATAACTTTCAAGGAGGGCACCAAGATCATTCAATGGAGAAAGAATAGTCTTTATAACAAATGACAGTGGGATACAGCATGCAAAAGAATGTAGCCAGACCCTCACTTACATCATTTCATGAGATTATCTATATATGTACCTATGTATAAATACAAAAATTAAATCAAAATAAACCAAAGGCCTTAATGTAAAAGTTAAAACTACCAGAGTTTCAGAAGACACACAGAGGTAAATCTTCATGACCCTAGATGTGCTCACAGGTTTCTAAATATGACACCAAAATCAAGAGCAACACCACCCCCCTCCCAAAAATATATATATAAAAATTAGGTTTCATCAAAAAAGTTTAAATTTCCAAGTCCATGAACACTATCAAAATGAAAAGACAATACACAAAATGGAAAAAAATATTTCTGGATTACATATGTGATAAGGGATTTGTATCATAATATATAAAGAATACTTATGATTCAATAATTTAAAAAAAAATTGAGGGGCCTCCCTGGTGGTCTAGGGGTTAAGTCTCAGAGTTACCACCCCTACAGGAGTTCAGGAGTTCAATCCCTGGCAAGGGAGCACCCACATATGGCACAGCAGACCTCTCCTTGCCTGCTGTCTTGCCTGCTGCTCCCCTTAGCAGTGCATTTCAATAGAGCTCCCTGTTCTGCTCCCCATACTGTCTCTGTTGAATCCTCTCACCCCACATTTCTGGCCTACACCCCAATTCTTCTATGCACAAATAAATGAATATTTTTTAAAATACAAGGAAAAAAACCCCAATTTGAAAGTTGACAAAGGATCTAAATTAACATTCTACAACAATGACATACATATGACCAACTGGCACATGAAAAGATGCTCCACATCATTAGTCATCAAAGAAATGAATGTCAAAACCACAATGAGAGGTTTCACAGTGATGTTTTTGGAGACCCAACTACAATGGCATGGGTAACAGCAAAAATAAACAAATATACAACAAACATCTGTACAGCAAAATTAACTAATCATTAAAACAAAAAGACACCCCTACCCAAACGGGAGATAATATTTGCACTTCACACATCCAATGAAGGGCTAATAGCCAAGGTCTACAGAGAATTCATACAACTCAACAAGAAAACAAATAACCCAATCAAAAATGGGCAGAGCAGTTAAACAGATACTTTTTCGGGGAGATATATAGGAAGACAGCCAAAAGGCACATGAAAAAATACTTATCATAACTTACCATCAAGGAAATGCAAACCAAAACCACGAGCTACCACCTCACATCGAGTGGCCCATTATTTAAAAAAAAAAAAAGACAGAAACCAAGTACTGGCAATAAATGTCCATCAATTGGACAACTGGATCAGGAAGATACGGTATACTCACACTATGGAGTACTATTCGGTCACAAGAAGGGATGTAATGCAGCCATGTGCAACAAAATGGAGGGAGTTAGACAGAATTGGGTAAAGCAAGTCAAAACAATAAAAATATTGGACATTTACAAAGCAGGTAATCCAATAATGTAAAATTATTTTCAAAAGTCAGTGGACACCAAATACCATGATAGCTCTGAGGTTAGGAAGGAGGGAGAGGGCCTCCCCAGTGGTGCTGCGGGTTGAGCTGCAGGTTGATCACAGCTCCAGATTCCCACATAGCGCGGCAGACCTCTCCTTTCTCACCTGCTGCTCCCCTCAGCAGTGTCTTCGGTCCGTCTGCCTGTTCTGCTCCCTGCTCTCTCTCAGGTGAATTCTCTCACCCTCCCGCGCCTCTGGCCTGTACCCCGGTTCTTCTATAAATAAATAAAATCTTTTTTAAAAAAAAGGAGCGAGGGCCTCCCAGGTGGCACAGTGATTGAGCGCTGGGCTGCGAAGCTGCCCGCAGCCTCTGCAGCGTCGGTTCCATCCCCAGCCACAGGCGAGGGTCCCACATGGCGCACAGACCTCTCCTGCTGCGCCCGCAGCTCTCCTCAGCAGTGTGCTTCAGTCCTTCTGCCTGCTCTGCTTCCCGCTCTGGCTCGGTGAATTCTCTCACCCTCCCGTGCTTCTGACTGTACCCAGTGCTTATACAGATAAATAAATAAATCTTAAAAAAAATAATAATTAAAGGGCCTCCCTGGTGGCGCAGCGGTTGAGCGCTGGGTTGCGAGGCTGCCCGCAGCCTTTGCAGTGCCGGTTCGATCCCCGGCTGCTCCCCGGCCACTGGAGGAGGGTCCCACATGGCACGCAGACCTCTCCTGCTGCCCGCTGCTCCCCTCAGCAGTGTACTTCGGTCCTTCTGCCTGCTCTGCTCCCCGCTCTGGCTCTGGTGAATTCTCTCACCCTCCCGTGGTTCTGACTGTACCCAGTGCTTGTATAAATAAATAAAAATAAATCTTTAAAAAAAGTCTTAAAAAAAATAATAATAATAATTAAAAAAATAAAATAAAAAATAAAGGTTATACGCACTTGTGTTCATTGCAGCACTATTTACAACAGCCAAGGTACTGAAATACCACAAGTGCCTGACAGATAAAATGAATTAAGATGATATGGTATATATATAAAATGGAATACTACTCAGCTATAAAAAAAAAAAAACTACTCAAAATCAGGAACATTTCTGACTACATGGATGGAACCAGAGGGCATTATGCTAAGTGCAAAAAGTCTGATAGAAAAACGGATGATTTCACTCACGTAAGATATAAAGACACAAAACAAAGGACAAAATAAAACTAAACCAAAAAAAACTTGAAATCTGACTGTAAAATTAAGGCTACCAGTCTGTAAAATTAAGGGGTGAGGGTGGTGGCAGGGAAGAAAGAGTAGAGGGGTCCAATGGACCTCCTCCATGATGGAGGATTATGGATATCTTGGTGGTGGGTACAGTAGGGTAACACACACCTAAAAGGGTGTGAATCTATACCTCTAGTTCATGTACGATGCTGTAAACCCATGTTACCTCAATAAAAAACACACATACAGGGCCTCCCCGGTGGCGCAGCGGTTGAGCACTGGGTTGCGAAGCTGCCCGCGGCCTCTGCGGCGCCGGTTCGATCCCCGGCTGCTCCCCGGCCACTGGAGGAGGGTCCTGCATGGCACGCAGACCTCTCCTGCCGCCCGCTGCTCCCCTCAGCAGTGTACTTCGTCAGTCTACCTGTTCTGCTCCCCGCTCTGGCTCTGGTGAATTCTCTCACCCTCCCGCGCTTCTGACTGTACCCAGTGCATGTATAAACAAACAAACAAACAAATAAAAAAAATAAAATAAAAACATGCCTCTATTAAAAAAAAAAAAACAAAAAAACACACATACAAAAAACCCCCAAAACTACCAAAAAATTTGAAGCCACAATGAGATATCAATTTACAAGCACTAGGAGGATGGCCCAAATTAAAGTGTCATACAGTAACAAGTACTGGTGAGGATGCAAGGAAGTGGAGGAATCCAAACCTTCATACATTGTTGGCAGGAATGGAAAACCCTGCAGCCACTTTGAACAATCTAGCAGTTCCTCAAATGGTTAAATATAGTTACTATATGACTCAGAATTCCATTTCTAGATACATATTCAAGAAAGGAAAACATACATCTACACACAAGCATGTACAACAATGTTTAAGCAGCATTATAAGGGCCAAAATGTCCATCAATTGATGAATGGATAAACAAAATGTTTTTTATATATATGTTATATATATATATATATAAAACAATGGAATATTATTCAGTCATACATAAAAAGTGATGAAGTACTGAAATGTTATGACATGGAGGAACCTTGAAAACATTCTAAGTGAAGACAGTCACAAAAGACCCCATTTTTATTATACAATTCCATTTATATAGTAAGTTATAATAGGCAAATCTATAAAGACTGTTTAGGATTGGGAAGAATGGGCTGATGACAACTAAAGGGTACAGGGTTTCTTTTTAAGGTAAAGAAATGTCCTAAAATTGACTGCAGTGAAGATTATACTTATCTATGAATATGTCAAAAAATACTGAATTTTTGTATACTATAAACAGATGAATTGTATGTCAACTACTTCTTAATAAAGCTATTTAAAAAGGTCAGATTTGATAGTGCCATCAAAGCCCCCAATTTTTATGTTCTTAGATTATTATCTGAGTAGGCAACTATGAGGGCTTCAAATACCTTGTCATTGAATTGTTAGAATAATCTTAAAAAGCATAAAAGAAACTGAGGCATGGGCCTCCCTGGTGGTGCAGCGGTTGAGTGCTGGATTGCGAAGCTGCTCGCGGCCTCTGAGGTGCCGGTTTGATCCCTGGCTGCTCCCCGGCCACTGGAGGAGGATCCCGCATGGCACGTAGACCTCTCCTGACGCCCGCTGCTGCCCTCAGCAGTGTACTTCGGTCCTTCTGCCTGCTCTGCTCCCCTCTCTGGTAAATTCTCTCACCCTCCCGCACTTCTGACTGTACCCAGTGCTTATATAAATAAATAAATCTTAAAAAAAAAAAGAAATTGAGGCATGGATGAGCAACTTGCCCAAAGGAATACAGCTAAAATTAGAGATAGGATTTAAATCCAGGTCAGCAATTTCCAAATCAAAAGTTACTTCTATTATGTGTATTTGTAAATTTGGTCCTTTACTTCACCTAGAAAGGATGCCAACATCACATTAATAGTTACACTATCACTGACTGAAGAATACCAGGCTAAACAACCCTGCTAGAGTATTCCATACCTCACTATTATATACAGAAATAATTAAAAGTTATGACAAATATAAGACTTTACTACTAATTTCTATCCCTTCACTATCTTCTAAACAACTTTTACATTTCTCTCAACAAGAGAGTTTACCTTTCATTTCTCTCTCCTGGATTTCTCGCTCCTTCTTAGCCTGAATGGCAAGCAGCCGTCTGCTCTTTACAGCACTAATCATATCTTCTGCTTCCATATCTACTTGGGGCTCAAACTTCACAATTTCTTTTTTTCTATCAGATTTGCCTAACCCATTCTCCTCTTTTCCATTTTCTTTATTTCTGGCTTCCATTTCCTTCCTTTTCTGTTTCTCTGCTCTCTTCTTATCATTTTCTTCCTTCAATACAGCAAGTCGTTCCTTCCACAACTCTGCAGACATCTGCTGTCTGGTTTCCATATGGTCTTGCACCGAGTATGTCATGAGAATCCGGTGACAGAGTGCTGTCAAGATCTGTAGCTTTTCTTCTGAGGTTAGTTCAAAAAATTCAGAAGTCTCCAGTTTTTCTAAGAACTCATCTTGTACCTCATTGTCCTCAAATGATGCTGAATCTTTATTGTCCTCTGTGTCTGAGGCCTCACTTTCCTCCTGAACATCAGATTTGCGCAAACAGAGTCGCACCAACTCTGAAACAGAATGCAGAGTTAGAGGAATTTCCGACAGCTTCATTCCCAATTCACCATAGTCTTCTGCTATTTCATCTTGTAATAAGGTCTGTAAGAGGATGACCAACACTCTATTCAGGTATAAAAAGCCACCCTTTTCTGCGCTCAAGGCTTCCATAAGGGACACAGCAGTAATAGGATACTGAGCATCTGGTAAGAGTAGCCCAGAATAACAGCTCAAAAACTCAACTACCATGGCCACATCCCCAAAGAGTGTGTTAGGCAGTCCTTCGGGGGTATCCACTAATCTAAATGCTGGAAGATTTTTGCCAGCTAACTCTTGGTCCTCATATCGCTTCTGTTTTTCTAGTTTCTCAAGCATTTCTTTCTCTCTTCGTTCCTTGGCCTTCTCCTTCAACTTTTCTTTCAGCTCCTCTCGCTTCTTTTTCAAATATTCTTTGCGTTGCTCCTCAGACATAGAGGCCCACCTCTTTTTGTGCTCAAGAAGTTCAAAGCGTTTTTGAACAATACTACGCAATTCTTCTGGGAGACGAGCTCTATCCTCACTAGAAAGAAGACGAGCAGTTTTGGAGATAACACAGGACAGGGCACTCTTCTTGTCCTCCCTGTCTTTGTTTTCTTTGTAGTAGGCAATAAGGTGTAGGGCAGCAGGAGGCAGATGTTTGTGAGGTTTACTAGAGGACCTAGGTGTACCCCCCGAATTCCGTGGGGCTCGGTTCATCTTCTGAGTGCCTTTGGCCATATCCAACAAAGTCATCTGTTTCATTTTGGTTTTAGGTGTCTTCAACCCCTTTTTGGGAGATTTAGAATTCCCTGTGGATTTCTGTCCATTCAGGATGCCTTTGCTCCTGCCCTTTGCTTTCAAAGGTTTGTCACTGTGCTTCCCTGGTTTCTTGGCACCTGGGCCTTTCTTAGGAATGTGAAAGTTAGCATGTAGTTTGTTAGGTGACATCATCTTCATCACTTCCTCCAGATGCTGTTCTGGAGATTTGGAATTCTTTGAGTTCTTTACTTTGAGTGGCGAGCCATTCAAAGATTTCTTCAAGTGTACATGACACCATAGTTTAGGATTTAGTGGTGAACTCAAAGAGTTGTCTGTCTTGGATTTCTTTGAGGGCTTCCTGTCTGGGGAAGCAGCATTCTTCCTCTTAGTAGAAGGGTTGAGGGTCATGTACTAAAATTTAAGAACAGGAGCAATTTTAAAAAATTAATTTAATGAAGCAATATTTAAGCATCCTAAGACCTCTTCCCCCAGCTATTCAGATAAAGTTACATATTAATTTGTTTTCATTTCCCTGAAACAAATGAAAATCAGGAATGTTAGCTATGTCTTAAGCTATAGAACACAAAATTCTCTTGATATTCAGATTTTAAAATCTATACTCAAACATTATATATCTTTCCTATGCAATTACTTTTTGTCTATATATAGATCAGCAGTTCTTAAATACTTTAATAAAATCCATGAACACTTCCCCAGAAATCCTTTTGCACGCATACAAATATTATACACATGGGGTCTCCCTGGCGGCACAAGGCGTTAAGTCCCAGCACCATCAAGCTATCAGCAGTCACTATGACATAAGTTTGATTCCCGGCCAGGGAGCTAAACCACATGGTGCAGCAGACCTTTCCTGTTTCACCTGCTGCTTCCCTCAGCAATATATTTCAGTCAGTCTGCCTGTTCTGTTCCCCTGTTAGTCTATGGTGAAGCCTCTTCACCCCATACCTCTGGCCTATACCCCAGTTCTTCTATGCAGAAATAAAAATAAATCTTTAAAAAAAATTATACACGATTTCAGGGTCTCCCCGGTTGAGGGCTGGGTTGCGAAGCTGCCCGCGCCCTCTGCGGCGCCGGTTCGATCCCCGGCTGCTCCCCGGCCACCAGAGGAGGGTCCCACATGGCGCGCAGACCTCTCCTGCCGCCCGCTGCTCCCCTCAGCAGTGTACTTCGGTCCTTCTGCCTGCTCTGCTCCCCGCTCTGGCTCTGGTGAATTCTCTCACCCTTCCACGCTTCTGACTGTACCCAGTGCTTGTATAAATAAATAAATAAATCTTTAAAAAAAAAAAAAAATTATACACGATTTCAGAGTCCATCCATGGGTCCCAGATTAAGGATACCTAATCCAGATAATGGCAACATCTGAGAAGTTTACTCTTGAGATAGGACTGAATATACATCCTTTAAATCTTTGTTTCAACTGGGGGTATTCTATACTGTTAAGTAGAAAGTATACCATTTAAGTACTTCTGCCTAAATTCAGAGGCATATTTTCTTTTCTTTTCTTAGATTTATTCATTTATGCATACAAGAGCTGGGGCACAGACCAGAGATGCGGGGGCGGGTGTGTGTGTGTGTGTGTGTGTGTGTGTGTGTGTGTGTGTGTGTGTGTGTGTGTGTGTGTGTGTGTGATGATCCACCAGAGACAGAGCGGGGAACAGAACAGATAGATTGACCGAAATACACTGCTGAGGGGAGCAGTGGGTGAGACAGAAGAGGTCTGCCTTGCCATTCGGTTTCTCCCTGGCTGGCCGGGGATCAAACCTGCAGAGGCTGTGGATTGCTTCATAGTGCGGTGCTTAACCCCTTGCGCCACCAGGGAGGCCCAGAATATTTTCTTATTAAAAGAATCAATGACTATACTAACAACAAAAATACTACTCACAAGTAAGAAGCCCTCCTGTCCTTGGTCTCCTGGTTACTCAAAGTCCTCTTTGTCCTTTCCCCATAACTCAAGAACTCATTTCCAGAAATATATTAACTATCAAGCCCTCTCAATTCTCAGTTTCATACAATTCTTTGATTATTCCCTCACATCTTTCAAATTCATTCCCCCTAATACCCCAACTCCACAATCCTTCAGTCTCACCAGGACCTTAACTCCATTGATTCTATCACCTTTACAACACTCTCTCATTTCTTGTCCTTCTTTAGCCACACTAAATTCCAATCAATCATTATAATCAATCTTGAGTAAACCTACATTTCCCATCTCTCTTGCTTTATCTGTTTACTCTAGCCTGTATGTGTTCGATTTTAATATGGTTAGACTAAGAGACACAATGACAGTATGTGGTTTCACATTTTTCACCTCAAGCGCATCTTGAACCCTACCCAGTAATGTCTATTCCTTTAGTACATTCACATTCTCTCTCTCCTAGACACACATTGTCTGTCCCCTTTATCATATTCCCGTGATACAGAATTAGTTAATATGTTAGAACATAGTCAATTTGTCATGCTATCATTGTTTTTCTGATTAATTGTGGATTGCCCCAAACACCACCACTTGATTTTGTTGCATCAAAGACTAGCAGCTAAAACACAAACTAATAGCCAATTTGAAAAAACCATGTTTCAACTAATTAGGATAAAGATTAAATAGCCTCTAAAATACTTGACTCTATTATCAAAAGCTGCTAAACACACAGAGGATTAAGCATATAAGCATTAAGTTCTGACACTTGGGGCCACCTTGGTGGCCTAGGGGTTAAGTCTCTGAGAGATCATGGCTATGGCCTGAGGGCCAGAGTTTGATCCCTGGCCAGCGAGCTAACCCACCCATGGTGCAGCAGACCTTTCCTGACCCTCGATTTGCCCTAGCAGTATATTTCAATAAATCCACCTCCTGTTTTGTTCCCCACTCTGTCTTTGGTGAAACCTCTCACTCTTCCCACCTCCCACCACAGTCCTATGCAATTAAAAAAAAAAGGTCCAAAACTTGCTGAACTTCAGGTTTTTGAGTGGAAGGGACTAACTTAGTAAAGCAACATGTAAAGAAGCAGTCTGGAGGCAATGAGTGGGACAGGACAGTGTGAGGTAAGACTACAGGCAAGCAAACATCCAAAGACTATCCAATATGAAATTATGAGTACTAAAGAAAGGCTATGGTAAAATAAATCCCAGAGATGACATAGAATACCTATGTTCTTTTTAGGAGTAAAGAGGTATACTAAATTTAATAAACTATACTTACAGCCAAATAAATTTAAATAAGGATATAATAATCAGAGGATAAACTGAGAATCAAGGCCACACAATAGGCAGAAATACTGGCTATTCTTTACAAATGTTCCTTCTGGCTAAGTTCTCTAACTTAAAATGCCAACCTGCCTCTTAAGAACTGTTTCTCTAGCTGCTGTTTTTGTTGCCTGACTGAAACTGGAAGTTTTACTCACCGATTATCACCATCAAATGGGCTAACAAATAGGTTTCATAATTTACAAGAAACAAACACTATCCATGCCTCAGGAAACTTTCTCCAGAAGCAGATTTGCCCAGTTCTACATCCCAAGAACTAAATTTCAAAATGTTAAAAAGTATAAGCAAAGACAACTTAAGATTCCATTCTCCATGTGGATAGTAATAGCACCAATACTCCAAAGAGCAGTATTTCAGAAACCAACTTAAAAATAATGGAAAAAGACACAATATTACCCTCGCAGGAATTAGAGACAAACGTGTTTTCCAGACGTGAACTATACTCTTGAGGTAGCCTTGGAAAATCTTCAGGTTACAACATAACAGACTGATACTTTTCTAATGCTTAGGATAAGCGTTAGGTTATGTTTGAAGTCATTCTAAATGAAATTTATGACTAAAAAAGACTAATGTGAGACTGTTTCAGTCTTAGAATTTTAAAAAGCTATCTTTTTAAAATAGTCTTTCATAACTGGGTCACATCTTAATTTACTGATATTTCTTTATATTCAAAAAGTCATTCAAATTAAAGATTCTTTAAATTTCTTCTGCTTAGAAACACTTTATTATACAGAAATGATCTTAAGAAAGAAGTAGAATGGCTTAGCCATGAAAGGGTCCAGCAATCCATTTTTATTTGTAAGGTGTGTTCTTCCTAGTCACACCATAAACTTTTTCCATTAAAATGAAAGAAATGAACTCACCCAACCCCCTCCCAATAGGCCGGCTCCCCGCGTGAGCAGTCCTTCAGTAACTGGATCATCTCAACATGGGGCATGCTGGGCCGTCACAGCCACATGGGAGCCGGCATGGCTGGACTCAGGGGGATCTGAAAAAGTATAAAACCACTTATGTGCTAAGGGTCTCCCTAGCCCCATTCAGCACAAGTAAAATACTAGAGTAGTGCATATGGAGGGAGAAGAGAATGGACAGCTAGATTAGCAGTATTAGTTTTCTGGCAATGGTCCTACCTAATTTCTAAACAGAAAAAAGATTATTTTTGAATGTCTCAGCAACATGAGAAGCTACAAGAAAAATATTGTACACAATTCTATACTTGTTCCCTGTCACCTAGAACAAACCAATACCACAAATAAGAAAATCTAATAGAAGATAAACATGAAAAAAAATTTTATAGCATTCATTTAGATGCTAAATTTAACTTAATAAGTAGCAAGAAACCTAAATTAGAAACTTTGGTAATCAATAGTTTGACTCTATTCTCTTCTCATTCACCAAACTCATGTTGAGTTTCAAGGCAACATTCACATGGCAGGTTTCTCTCTATCTTCCTTTATCAGCAAATTTATGAAATGCATTACTACAAAATATTTTAAGTGCTTTGAAAATATAATGTATTTTTAATATGCTTCTGCCCTAGTCTCTAACTCATAAACATTAAGAGCTAAAACTTTAAAGAAAAATCTTGTGGCTGGAAATATCAACTAGGAAAGAAAAAAAAAATCTTTAAAAATATATTAATAATATCACTAGAAAAATAACATCATATGCCTTCTTTTGATATGATTCACTGAGACATCAACTCTATAGTAATACCAAAAATCAGAACCTGATTCTAATCATGAGGAAATAAATTCAATTTGAGAAGCACTATATAAAATAAATGCCTTGTATTCTTAAAATATGTCCTTTTTTTTTTTTTTTTTTAAAGATTTATTTATTTATTTATACAAGCACTGGGTACAGTCAGAAGCGCGGGAGGGTGAGAGAATTCACCAGCGCCAGAGCGGGGAGCAGAGCAGGCAGAAGGACCGAAGCACACTGCTGAGGGGAGCAGGGGGCAGCAGGAGAGGTCTGCGCGCCATGCGGGACCCTCCTCCAGTGGCCGGGGAACAGCCGGGGATCGAACCGGTGCCACGGAGGCTTCGGGCAGCTTCGCAACACAGCGCTCAACCACTGCGCCACCGGGGAGGCCCATAATATGTCAGTTTTTGAAGACAAAAAAACTCATGTTGACTTTCAAGGGACTATTCTAGGTTAGGAGACTAAAGAGATATATAACAAGTAAATGTAATACATGATACACTAGATGCCATTAAAATCAAAGCAAAATCTTTTTGACTATAAGGACATGATTGGGTAAGTGGCAAAATTTGACTAAGAACTGTAACAGCATTGTTTCGATGTTAATTTCCTCACTTTGGTAACTGTACTATAGTTATATTAGAAAATAACCTTGTTTTTAGGAAACACATTTAAGTATTTTGTAAAAGAGCATTCTGTCTTGGGCCTCCCTGGTGGTGCAGGGATTAAAGTCTCAGTGCTATCAAGCTAGTCCCAGCCACTGCGGCATGAGTTCAGTCCCCAACCAGGGAGATAACCCGCATGGCGCAGCAGACCTCTCCTGTCACACCCACTGCTCCCCTCAGCAGTATATTTCAGCAGATGTGCCTGTTCTGCTCCCCACCTTGTGTCTGATGAATCCTCTCATCCTCCCTATCCTCCTAGCACCTACACCCCAGTTCTTACATGAATAAATAAAATCTTTAAAAAAAAAATAAAAGAGCAACCTACCTTACAGTTTACTCTCAAATGGTTCAGAACAAAGTAATCTCCTTGTGCAAAGAGAGAAAATAGGGCCTCCCTGGTGGCGCAAGGGGTTAAGCACAGCACTATGAAGCTATCCCCAGCCTCTGCAACACAGAGTTAGATCCTCGGGCAGCCAGGGAGCTACCCACATGGCGCAGCAGACCTCTCCTGCCTCGCCTGCGGCCCACCTCAGCAGTGTATTTCAGTCAATCCCCCTGTTCTGCTCCCCACTCTGTCTCTGGTGACTCCTCTAACCCTCCCTGCACCTCTGTCCTACATCCCAGGTCTTGTATGCATAAACAAATAAATCTTTAAAAAAAAAAATGAAAAAATAATTTTTTTTTTTTAAAGAGTTACTCTCTTGTTACATCTCTACCCATAAGTTTCCCTATTAGAAGATACCAGTTCAAACACTATGGGATAAACTAATAAAGCACCAGAATTACCGCAACATATTATAAAAGGGAAATAGTAGCCAATTCATCTTGGATGACAGTTATCACCCAATTGCCTTGCAAATCCAAGTCATTCGGTCCACAAAAAAATCACGTTATACCTAAACTGAATGTCAACTGCGTTTTTTTCCAATGAAACAAACTTCTTAAAGAAATGAATTCACTAGCCCTGTGTTATACATAACATGATATGCAAAGCATCACAGAACATAAAACAATAAAGATAATTCTATATTCAAGTAATTTATATCCCAGTTTACAAGACCACAAACACATCCTCACCAACATTCTACACTCTAAAATTCCTGTATCTCTAGATAATTTTCCTCTCTTACTAAAGCTGTTCCCTCACTGCCCTAAAACTACTGCTCAGAACTTGCCTCCTTTCTCTAGCCTTCATCTCACTCTATAGAAGCTGTATATAGCAATTTAGCAGAACATAAAATTCTAAAGAAAACAGAAGAGACAAAAAAGAGAAAATAAACGTTAAGCCTACGACTGCCTTTGGGATGGGTGGATAATATATGGTCAACTTTAATCCCTGATGCATTATTTAAAATTTCTTTTAGATGAGAAAAAAAGTCAAAGCACCATTTTATGCTCTATCTATACCTTTACTATATTGTCCTGGCTGAGATGCTGAAAATCCAAAACTCATTTTACAAAAAGGAAAAACACAACTTGTATGTAAAACTCAGGTGACAAAATCAAGTGAAGTATCAAGCAGCAAGTAACAGATATTATTTACAGCAGGGAAAATACACAGAGAGATAGTCCTTAATTTTGCAGACTGGTATTTTACATGAGTTTCAATTTCTCGTCCTAAGCAGTATCCCTCCCTTCTTATAGCAGTTTAGTGTAATTGATCTCAATCTGAATCACAGTCAAATTTCATTAACAAAGATTTGAGAGTAGTCAATTTCTTTGGAAATTGCATTTCAACAGAAAAACTAGAATTCTAGTCTCTGGCTTCTACAGAAGTATGGATCAGCTTTTCTGTTCTAATAAACTTTTACTCACAGATACGTAAAGATAATGGGGTTTTTACTCATAAATAATACCTAGTTTTTCCTTCTATCTATTCATATACTTGAAAATCACTAAAATACATGTAAAATAGCTTTAAGATTAAAAATAAAGAGGAAAATATTTGGAGACCCAAATAATCCAAGAGTCTAATTCCTATAGAAATGACTTTATATATAAGGGCTCTCATGAAGTTATGACAATAATTTCATAACCACCAAAAGTTTTATCAATTTCTTAACTCTAGAACAAACAAATGAAAGTGAATTAAAATTTCCCCTCAATACTTATGAAAAAAAATGAGAGCTACTATAGTTTCATGGAAAAATTTAGTCCTAACCTAGAAACAGCCAATTAACCATTATTTTTTTCTTTTATGCAAATCATTAAAATTTAAAGAGCATAAATGGAAGATAATGCTTGATCTTGATGGTCTAGAAGAAAATATACTGAATACTAAACTATGACTATAGGTCTTTACCAATGTTTGGAAAAATTAAAATTCGCAATATACTTTTGTCAGCAAAATTAACCGAAGATAATTGAGGTAATTCAGTTGTATTACTTATGATGTGTTTGGCTTTTACAATTAAAAGGAAGCGGGGGCGGGGGTGTGTGTGAAAAGAAACTCTGAAAGTCTGATACAGTTTTAAAGAATCAGCAGCCCAGTCCTGGTCACCTTCTGGCCCAGAGACCAAGAAGTCACTGTCAATATGCCTGTAAGTAAATTTATCAGTGTGACTTACACTGAAAAATGTATTAGAGAAAAAAAAATGTATTAGAGAAATCCTGAGATGGAGAAGACAACTAGAAATCAAAAGCCAATGTCTTGGCTTTTCCTCAACCACTTTCTGTTGCTTCTAATTATACGAGTTCCAGTTTCCCCATCCGGAAAATAAGACTATTAAAATTAGTGTACACACACACACCCCCCATACAACTTTATGTTTTGAACATTAAAGGCGATAATTAAAGGGAAACAAACACGTTCTTACAAGGGAAATGTTAGATTTTTCTACTAACCTGTATACAAAGTAATACTCATTCCAAGATCTTTTCAAAGCTGCCATTACATCTGGTCATCTTATCTTTCTCTCTCTCTCTCTCTCTCTCTCTCTCTCTTATCTCTCTCTCTCTCTCTCTCTCTCTCTCTCTCTCTCTCTCTCTCTATATATATATATATATATATATATATAACCAGCTTTCATTTTTAGGAATCGATTTGCAAAATTTTTTTTTGTACTTATACCATACCTCATTCCAAAAAATGATCAAGGCAAAAAAAAAAAAAAAGATACTGCATATAATTGTGTTTTTTTAAAAATTATGCAGCCAAAGTAATAAGTAAATCCAACTAAGGATAACATTCAATGTGGTCTCTCCCCTACCAACCACACATCACAACTTATATGAAAGATATAGCTGAGATTTTTAATTCATTATTTGAGGTTAGCATTTAAAATCTGCCATAAATCTAATCCTATTGGAGATATCAGAAAAAACAAACTCATCTACTAGTGTTCTGTCCTACTGTCCAAAAGTGACCTTACCTTGTATGGATCAAGTAAAAAGTCACTGAACTTGCTAGGCAGGGAGTATTTCTTCACCAGTTCATCTTCTACCACCCAAGGTGCATTTTCACCAGTCCCAGCCCGTAATGCATTATGCCGTATAAAATATCGCAGTATCTCCTTATTTGGTGGGCGTTCTGTCCGTATCAAGCTGTCTGCTGGCACATTACTGATGATCTAGATTAGCAAATATAAATAACTGATCATTGGGATAATATGCAATTAGTCAGTGAAAACAAAGATTTATGTCTTCTTCAAAAAAAGGATAATTCCATCTATAAAACAGGAACGTAAACTAGACGGAAGAAAAACTTTTAGAGACTGTTAAAAGATATCCTTAATTTGTCTATATGTATCAAAGTCCTAAAAATGTATATATCCACTGAAACAGCAATTTCCCTCGTTAAGACTTTAGGAATAAATGGACAATCATCATTAATTACTTTTACAGGTCCAAAAAGAGGGAGGATACATAAAGGTTTATCAATAAAGGATTCAATTTTGTAATTAAATACATCCATATAATGGATGGCCATGTATGGCCATGAACGAAGATGATTCTCAGGATAATTTATCAGATTCATCTAGGGTGCTATTAAAATGCAGGTGTTTGGGCATTATCCAAAACAATGAATCAGAAGAATCTCTCTCTGGTGGTAGAATCTGGGACACCATATTTTTAATAAACTTTCTTGATGAATATCATACATACTATAATCTGAGAACACATATGCATTTTTAGAAGAGAATTTAATGACATTACAGATGTTTCTACACAGTAAATGAAAAACATAAGTTACAAAACAATGATTAGAGTATTCCTACTTGTAAAAGTCAATGAAGTTAACCATCATTAAACACATCAACATTTACTAATTATTATCTCTGAGTATGGGATTAGATATGTCATTGTTTCTTATATGTATTTATATATTTCCACAAACAGTATTTACCATATGAAAAAAGCAAATTCAGACTTATCAATAAGAATACAAATGATAATTAGAACATGGTTGAGACTACCATGCAGTTTTTCAGCAAGTTTTAAGTTGCTGAACAGGAAGAAAAAAAATCAGTGAAAAGTTGTATTAAAATCCAATTTTCAGGGGCCTCTCTGGTGGCGTAAGGGGTTAAGACTTAGCACTATGAAGCTTTTGGCAGCCATTGCAGCACAAGTTTGATCCCTGGCCAGGGAAGTGACCCACATGGTGCGGCAGACCTCTCCTGTCTTGCCCGCTGCTCCCCTCAGCAGTGTATTTCAGTAGATCCACCTGTTCTGCTTCCCACTGTCTCTGATGAATCCGCTCAGCCCCCGTACTTCTGGCATACACCCCAGTTTTTGTATGCATAAACAAATAAAAAATAAATCTTTAAAAGAAATCCATTTCTCAAATGTAAAGAAATCCTAACAATACAGTCATATCCTCAGATGACTGTAAACAAATGAGACTATAAACAAATGAAATAAAATGTGCCAATATTGTGAAGTGGGAAAAAACAATATACTAAAGAAACAAAAGATCTGAATTATAATCCTTCTCAATTTCATTTCCTAAGTTAGGAGCTTTGAAAGAATTACTAAACATTCCAGGCCACAGTTGTTTCTCCTGTAATTAATAATTAAACATGAAGATAAATGTTCGCAGTACCTTCCACACCCAGCTTCTAACTTAAAATTTTACACGTACAAACAGACGTATGAGTGCTTGAAATATACCATATTTCATGTACTTTAAGATGTTATCACTAAAAGACAGTATCTTCTTGACAACTTACTTTAAGATATATCCTAATTCTGGAAGTGTTAAAAAATATGAAAGGTGAATATTTCAGAATCAATTTAGTACTTCCTTAATTTAAAGGTATTTACTGTTTCAGATTACTAGTACTACATATTCTTTATAAAGCACTGATTAGTGTTGACTCAATTTTTGAGTTTATTTATAAATTACTCTGCTTTTAACTGGGAATAGCTATTTCCTTGGGAAAGTCATCAGTGCTGAGAACAGATCCTTATTTTTCAAACCGACTTTGAAGCTCAAATGCAAATTATTCTTACATCCTGGTAATTCCTACAAAAAAGGAAATGTACTATCTCCTAGGAAAGAAAATATAATTTAACTTAAAGTCATAATAAAACCACTCAGAATTTGTTACAGAAACACTCATTTACATTTTGTAACCTATTTTCTGTGAGGAAGCTAACCCTTTCTAAACAACATCTACTACTATGGAAGTGGTTTATGCTGGAGAGCCAACTAACCTTGTCTTCATTTTGAAGTTTCACATCATATTTGTGAGGCAGAAATTTTGGAGGAGCCCATCTCCTTTCTCCTTTTTTTAATGAAGTAGGGAGTTTTCGTGGAGATCTTCGTGCTCTGTCATCTAGTCAAATCAATAGAATATTGGTGAAAATAATTATCCTTTTAATTCTATTTATTCATTAACAATAATCTTATTGGGCCTCCCTGGTGGCGCAGCGGTTGAGCGCTGGGTTGCAAAGCTGCCGGCGGGCGACCTCTGAGGCGCCGGTTCGATCCCCGGCTGCTCCCTGCTCCCCGGCCACCAGAGGAGGGTCCCACATGGCGCGCAGACCTCTCCTGCCGCCCGCTGCTCCCCTCAGCAGTGTACTTCGGTCCTTCTGCCTGCTCTGCTCCCTGCTCTGGCTCTGGTGAATTCTCTCACCCTCCCGCGCTTCTGACTGTACCCAGTGCATGTATAAACAAAACGAACGAACAAACAAACAAATAAATAAATAAAAACATGCCTCTATAAAAAAAAAAATCTTTAAAAAAAAAAAAAAAAAAACAATAATCTTATTAGCCACTCTGCATTAGGCAATGAGGAGACACAAAGATGAATCAAAAGTTCTTACCTCAAGTAGCTAAAGCATGAGAGGAACTAACATGTGAATACAATGTGGTAAATACTATAACAGAAGCTAGTATAGAAAAATATGAGAAGAGAAGCAATGTCTAACTTAGTCTGGAAGATAGGCAGGAAAGACTTACAAAGAATATGACTTCAGAGATTGCAAGTAATGAAGTATGAGTGGATCTCATCTACAGTGAAATCTCATCTATTAGCAAAAAATCAGACTGAAGAGGTAAGAAGGGGTCAAATTATGCTGAAACTGTATACCATTTAAAGAGATCATAAATTTGTCTTGTGGGTACTAGAGAAACAGGATTTTTGGTCTAACTAAATGTACACTTTGGAAAGCCCACTAGTGTGAAAAAAGAAAATGACACTTTCAGCAGTTAGAAGCTGAATAAAATGGGAAGATGAAACTGAAGATGAAATCAGGAGATAATATGGTAAATATCTAAATGTAACTGGAATGGAAAAGGAAAGAATCAAGAAATACTTAGAAGACAGAATTTGGTAACCAACTAGATGTGGGAATTGTAAAGCTTTCCAACTTTAGTACCTTAGAGACTGAGCAGATGAAAGTGTCATTAACTGGCAGAGAATAATGAAAGAAAAGCTTATTTACTTGCCTTGGAGAATCAACATAAAAAGTGATATGATTAATTTAGCTTTATTTGTGTTAAATATGAATTAGGACCTCCCTGGTGGCCCAGGGGTTAAAGTCTCAGCACTATGAAGCTATGTCACCAGTCACTGCTGCACCAGTTCAATCCCAGCCAGGGAGCTACCCACACGGCACAGCAGACCTCTCCTATCTCGCCCACTGCTCCCCTCAGCAGTGTATTTCAGTAGATCCCCTGGTATGCTCCCCACTCTGTCTCTGGTGAATCTTCTCATCCCCTGCACCTCTGGCCTGCATCACAGTTCTTGCATGCATAAATAAATCTTTTAAAAAGTAAATAAATATGAATTACCTGGAACAAGTGAAAATTAGGTCTAGAATTATAAAATAGAAATTAAAGTTGATCGAGGCGTGGAAATCACCAGTCCATATATAAAGAGTCTAAACTGTTGGCATAGATGAAATACAGTAGTCCCTAGTCCCCCATCTTGTACTTTTGCTTCCTGAAATTTCAGTTACCCTAAGGCCAAATGCTGCAGTCCAAAAATATTACATACAATAAAATTTTGAGACCACAAATTCACGTAATTTTTATTACAATGTATTGTTATAATTGTTCTACTTTATTATTATTGTTAATCTCTTACTGTGCCTAATTTATAAATTAAACTTTTTTTTAAGATGTATTTTGTAGAAGAATTGGGGTGTAGGCCAGAGATGCAGGGTGGGGGGGGGTAAAAGGATTCCCCAGAGTGGAGAGCAGGACATGCAGATCTACTGAAATCCACTGCTAAGGGGAGCAGTGGGCAAAGGAGGAGAGGTCTGCTACAACGTATGTGGGTTAACTTCCTGGCTGGGAACTCAATGCAGGGCGTCTTGGTGATAGCACTGAGACTTAACCCCTAGGCCACCAGGGAGGCCCCATAAATTAAACTTGATCATAATCATGTATGTACAAGAAAGTATCAAGATTTAAGTTTGGATCCAATTTGTGGATACTTCCATTGTTTTCTGAATTATAAACGAAAAAAAGTATGTCTACAAAGTCAATGACAAATTTAATTGCTAAAGAATTCAGTAAGATTTGGGTACAAAAGATAGAGTCACATAACTCACTAAGAAAAACTAGCATCATACATACTAATACTCTCTCTCCTTCCTTCATCCTCTTTCACAATTGCCTCCTTCTTCTGATGTTCCTGAGCGATTTGGCTAGAATTCTCTTTGTCACTTGAGGGAGAATCACAGGCACCATCAGATTTCTTCTCAGTGGACTCTTCATCCACTTTCTCTAGAGGATGAATCTTCACAACCCTCACCTTGAGCATTTTTTCCTTCCCAACCTATAAAGGGGACAGGAGAAGAAATCACATATAACAAATAAGAACTAAAAACCCAATGATAGTATTTAGGATATATTATCCAATATATACCCCACCTCACTTCAAAAAAACTCATGGAAACTCTAAAGTAGTCAAATATGGTTTTTTCTATCTTTATTTCTCAAACCTCTAGATTGAAGTATGACATCTTAAAAAGTAAAATGGTGGGCCTCCCCTGGTGGCGCAGCGGTTGAGCGCTGGGCTGCGAAGCTGCCTGCAGCCTCTGCAGTGGCGGTTCGATCCCTGGGCCCAGGCAAGGTTTCCACATGGTGCGCAGACTTCTCCTGCCGTGCCTGCTGCTCCCCTCAGCAGTGTATTTCGTCAGTCTGCCTGTTCTGCTTCCCGCTCTGGTGAATTCTCTCACCCTGCCGTGCTTCTGACTGTACCCAGTGCTTGTATAAATAAATAAATATTTAAAAAAATAAAATAAGACTCAAGGGCGTCCCTGATGGCCTAGGGGTTGAGTCTCAGCACTAACACCCCTAAGGTCTCAGCCTGATCCCCAGCAGGAAGCTAACCCACAGTGCTCCGCAGACCTCTCCTGTCTCACCCACTGCTACCCTCAGCAGTATATTTCAGTAAATCTGCCTGTTCTGCTCCCCACTCTGTCTCTGATAAATCCTCTCACCACCACGACCCCCATCCCCTGGCACCTCTGGCCTGCACCCCAGCTATATGTATAAATAAATCTTTTTTTAAAAAGTCACTGGAATTTTATTATAACTGTGTTTTAATAAAATCTATTCAAGAAGAGTTAACATCTATTTGGGAAGACCTGACATCTCAGCAATATAATTTTTTGGTTTTTTAAAAAGATTTTTATTTATTTTCGTGTAGAACTGGGGTGCAGGTCAGAGGTGGGGGCAGGGTGGTGAGAGAATTCACCAGAGACAGAGTGGGGAGCAGAACAGGTAGATCTACTGAAATACAGTGTTAATGGGATCAGTGGGCAAAACAGGAGGTCTGCTGCGCCATGTGTATCAGCTCCCTGGCTGGGATCAAACTCAGGCCTTTGCGGTGGTAGCGCTGAGACTTAACCTGTAGGTCACCAGGGAGGCCCAATATAGTTTTGACATCCATACATAAGGTATACCTCTTCTTTATTTAATTTTCAGCAATAATTTATAATTTTTAGTGTATAAGTTTTACATATCTTTTTATCAGATTTATCCCCAGGGTTCTCATATTTTTTGATATTAAAAATGGTACTGAAATTGTTGCTAACAGACAGAAATATGATTTTGTGTATTTGTCCAGTATCCTGATGCCTTGCTAAACTCACTTTAGTAAGTGCTAGTAGATTTTTGGTGGATTCCATGACTTTTTCTACATAGACAATAATGTTGTCTACAGGTTAAAACAACTTTACTTCCAGGGCCTCCCTAGTGGCACAAGGGGTTAAGCGTCAGCACTATAAATCTATCTGCAACTACTGAAGCACGAGTTCAATCCCCAGCAGGGAGGTGACCTACATGGAGAAGCAGACATCTCCTGTCTTGCTCATTGCTCCCCTCAGCAGTGTATTTGAGTCAGTCTGCCTGTTCTGCTCCCCAATCTGTCTCTGGTGAATCCTCTCACATCTCCCTCCCCACACTGCTGGCCTGCACCCCACTTCTTGTATGCATAAATAAATCTTTAAAAAAAAAAAACAACTTTACTTCCTTTTCAATCTAGATGCCTTTTACTCTTTATTTTTTTAAATTGTTTTTCTTGAGTATACACCAGGCTAGATCCTCTAAGACAAGAGACCATACATTCAGTTTAAAAAAAGAAAAAATTTATTTATTTATTTATACAAGCACTGGGTACAGTCAGAAGGGCAGGAGGGTGAGAGAATTCACCAGAGCCAGAGCAGGGAACAGAACAGGCAGACTGACGAAATACACTGCTGAGGAGAGTAGCGGGCGCAGCAGGAGAGGTCTGCGAGCCATGTGGGACCCTTGCCGGCGGCCGGGTATCAAATCAGCGCTGCAGAGGCTGCGGGCAGCTTCGCAGCCCAGCGCTCAACCGCTGCGCCACCAGGGGAGGCCCTATTTGTTTTTTTAAGATTTATTTTATTTATACAAAAGCCGGGGTACAGGCCAGATGTGCAGGAGGGTGAGAAGATTCACCAGAGACAGAGCAGGGAACAAAACAGGCAGAATGACCAAAATACAGTGCTGAGGGGAGCAGCAGGTGAGACAGGAAAGGTCTGCTGCGCTATGTGGGTTGCTCCAGCACTACAGAGGCTACGGACAGCTGCACAGCGCTGTGCTCAACCGCCTGCACCACCAGGGAGGCCCCATTCAGTTTTTAACTACTAAGACTGTAAATATCTTTTATCATTCTGTAAATATCTTTTATCAAATCATTTGCTGAAAATCATTCTGTAAATATCTTTTATCAAATCGAGTAAGTTTCTAATTGCAGTTTGTGAGTTTTATTCGGAATTGATTGATGATACATTCTGTCAGATGCTTTTCATGTGTAAATTGAAGCAATCATATTGCTGTTCTTGTTTATCAATAAGAATTACAAAATTCAGATAAGCCCCACTTGGTCATGATGTCTTTTCTTTTAATGTGTTAAAATTTGAAGTTGGGTTTCATTTGTTACACCTTAATTAAAATTTTCAAATCAATGACCATAGAGGAGTTTTATAAACACAGACTTTTTTCTTAAGTCTGTAGATTTCTGTTGTAATGAGTTTATAAGTGGCTTTTCTATCAGGGTAATGCCGATTTCATAAAATGAGTCACAAAGAATTCCCTCCTCTTCTATTTTCTGGAATAGTTTATACAGAATTGGTATTATCTGTTCCTTTAATGTCTGGAGACTTTACTAGTGAAGACATGTGGACCTCTGGTTTTCTTTGTTTGGTCATTTCACTCAACACGTTAGGACTGATTTTAACCAATTTTTTTTAAAAACATTTATTTATTTATGCATACAAGAACTGGGGTACAGGCCAGAGATGTGGTGGGGTGAAAGGATTTACCAGAGACAGAGTGGGGAACAGAACAGGCAGACTGACTGAAATACACTGCTGAGGGGAGCAGCGGGAGAGTCAGGAGAGGTCTGTCTGCACCATGTGGGTTGCTCCCTGGCCAGCCGGGGATTGAACTTGTGCTGCAGAGGCTACGGATTGCTTCACAGTGCGTTGTTTAACCCCTTGCACCAGCAGGGAGGCCCGATTTTAACCAATACTGTTGAGCCAAAAGATGTTTTACAAGGACCTATATCTCACTACAATTTTCAACTACATTACTCTTTTCTCATTCCTGTATGTACCCAGCACCTCCTATTTCCTTGGGGTTTAGAAGTAGTAAAGTCTCTCCATTGTTTTTTTTTTAAAGATTTATTTATTTATTTATACAAGCACTGCGTACAGTCAGAAGCGCGGGAGGGTGAGAGAATTCACCAGAGCCAGAGCGGGGAACAGATCAGACAGAGTGACGAAATACACTGCTGAGGAGAGCAGCAGGCGCGGCAGGAGAGGTCTGCATGCCATGTGGGACCCTCGCCGGTGGCCCGGGCTTGAACCTGCGCTGCAGAGACTGCAGGCAGCTTCGCAGCCCAGCGCTCAACCGCTGTGCTAACAGGGAGGTCCTAAAGTCTCTCCATTGTTGATAGCCATGGAATATTTAACCTTTCCTTATTCGTTTTCCTTTACCCACATCAGACTGTTGTTTGTTGTCTCTAGTCCCTTTATTAAACTCAATTCAATTATGCTATTTGACTATGCCATCTGTTTCCTGCCAGGATGCTGACTGATTTAAAATGTATGTAAAACCCTTCTGTGATCGCACAGACATTAAAATTATAAGCAGCAGCTAGGAGATACAGGGAGTCACAGTAAATTAAAGAACAAGGACTTTGGAAAGAGACAGACATAGAGACAAACATTTGAATCCTTGTCCTACCAATTACTAGTTCTTCTTGGGCTACTTACACTATACCCTCTTATCTCCTGACTCTTAAGAGGCTTAAAAAAGGCGTACTTGCTTTCTCAGTCTCCTTGCAGCTAAAGAATGGTTATGTAAGTCATGGTCTAGCATTAACATGAAAAGATAGAAAAGGGAGCATAACAGAGATATGTTTTTGGTAAAAATTCTTACTTTGCTTAGTTAAGCATTTTCTCACAGAATAGTCACAATTTCACACAAAGAAGCAACAAAGGTAAGGACAAAAACCTAAGAGGGTGGAGAGAGGAGAAGTGGCAAAAAAAAAAATCACTAAAGCTATAAAGTCCCTGCAATATTTTTCAGGCTCTATATCAAATTTAGAACTGCCTATCTCTAAGACTTATTATGTAAGATAATCAAATATCTTCCCTGCTTATTAAGCCAATATAACTCAAAGTGCTCTCGCCAGAGTATTAGCATTAGCATAACCTGGAGCTTTTTAGAACCACAAAATTTTAGGACCTCTCCTAGACCTTCTGAACTAAACTCTCAGGGAATGAAGCCCAAGGATGTATATTCCGGGGCCTCCCTGGTGGCGCAAGAGTTAAGACGCAACCTATGAAGCTGTCCGCAGTCACTGCAGCATGAGTTCGATTCCTGGCCAGCCAGGGAGAAACCCACATGACACAGCAGACCTCTCCTGACTCGCCCACTGCTCCCCTCAGCAGTGTACTTTGGTCAATCTGCCTGTTCTGTTCCCCACTCTGTCTCTGGTGAATCCTCTCACCCCCCACACCTCTGGCCTGTACCCCAGTTCTTGTATGCATAAATAAATCTTAAAAAAAAAAAGAATGTATATTCTCAGGCCCTCCAAGTGAATTTATTTAGGATGAAATTTGAGACATAAAGGCCATTATTAGTCAGCTACTAAATTACATAAAGCTGGAATCACTCCTACCTAGTCCATTATATCAACGTGAGCAAGTTACCTGAATGTGTTTACCACCAGCATTTCTGTGCAGATTCTATAAGATTATAAACACTATCCCAGTATTCTATACATACTGATAGTAACAAATGCAAGCTCCTAAATCTTTGTTTTTTAATTAATTACACAGGGGTTGTTTTAGAATTATCTTTTAGTAATAGTTATCCTTGAGCTATTTGGCTGGAAAAGCAAAAAAACAAGTTAAAAAAAGAAAAAAGTCAACTGCTCACTATTGTAGCAGAATGAAATACTTTTGCTTATTCGTACCATAGATTTAGATTAAACACATCTAAAAAGTCTTTTAAGGGCCTCCCGGGGGTACAGGGGTTAAAGTTTCAGTGTTATCAAGTTGTTGCCAGCCACTGCAGCATGAATTTGATCACTGGCCAGGGAGCTAACCCACATGGCACAGGACACCTCTCCTCTCTCACCCCTCAGCAGTGTATTTCAGTAGATCCCCCTGTTCTGCTCCCCACTCTGTCTCTGGTGAATCCTCTCAACCTTTGCACCTCTGGCCTACAACCCAGTTCTTGTATGCATAAATAAAGAAAATAAATCTTAAAAAAGTCTTTTAAATAAAGTATGAAAAAAGTACAGGGAAAAAAAAAAGCCCAAATGGCAGTCATCAAAGAGGGACAGAACAAGGAAAACAAGGGCACAAATGCACACACAGTGTAGCAATTTTTGTATTAAACATCCTCAATAATGAATATGGTTTAAAATTTGTCGCTTCTATAGTATTTGATATTAAGTAAAGCAGACTTCAAATGTAACAGTTTTACATACAGATAAATGCAGTTTTTAACATGCTGGAAGTTCCAATCCTAACATATGACTAATGAGTCAAATCAATTAAAAAAAAAGTAGATGTTTACCTCAAAGTCACATTCTTCTCCCACAGCATATTTGGTCATGATCTCTAACCAAGCAGAATCTACTAATTTCTCTAAGGAAGCTGTGTTATGGTGAACCATTTCCAGAACAAGTTTTTCATACCAGGCAGGGAACTCCTCCTTCAAACTAAACAAATATGTTTTTAGTTACCAAGAAAATGCACAAAACTTATCCAAAGATTTAATGCAGGTCAATTCAAACACTTCTTTAGTAAATATATATAAGGTATCAGGGAATACAAAAATTAAAGACTATGTGGGGTACACAGGAGAAAGAAAGAACTTTTAAATAATTTTATCAGATTGAGCTAGCCAGTTAAATTTTTCAGCTGTAAAATTAAAATAGACATGTAATTTGTAAGGTTAAACATGTTCCTATTCATTTAGCCTTTAAAGATTTTTTTCTTGCTAGGTATGAACTGCTTAGTCATATCTTTTGACCATTTTTTTGAATAGGAGGAAAGAACTTGTTATATTTGTATTATGTCTCAATCAATTAAATGTTTTCATATGCATTCAGTCACTTAATTCTCACAAAATCTTATATCTAGAATTTTATGAGTAAGGAAATAAATCAGTCATGGCCAACAAGTTAAAAACATAACTTGAATTCGAAAGCCCTTTGCAAAGTAAAAAAACAGTAATAAGCCACTTTTTAATGACCAAAATAGCACAAATGAATTTTAATTATTGTATCTACTATGAGCAAATGAATACTACAAAGTAATTGTAGTAGTAGTAGTAGTAGTAGTAGTAGTAGTAGTAGTAGTAGTAGTAGTAGTAGTAGTCTGCTTCAACTCTTTTGGTAAATAGTTTGACAATTATCAAAACTTTCATATGGACTCAGAGATATTTATTGCAGATGACTTACTGTAGCAGAAAATTGGATACAACCCAAAATGTATCTGACTTGACGAGATAGTCTGATATTTATGTTGCAGGATTATGAAGGGAAGTTTCAGGCATGACAACATTCACAAGTATTAAGTTTATTAACATATTACAATGTGGTATATAAGGAAAAATTCTCACTCTGTGCTATTTAAAACTACAAACTTCCTCCTCATTAATTACAATTAATTAAGTCACCAGGTTATCTGCTATTCTTCAGTCAAGACCTAGTCTCCCTGCCTTTGTTAAAGTTATTACCTCTGCCCCCTTTTCCACTATCTCCCCCACAATCCCCCTCCCCTGGCTTAATCATCCTTCTAAAATGTCTTCAGACTTTAACTCCATGAGCGCTTTTCTTGGCCCCTGTAAACTTATTCTCTTTCCATTAAGCCTCCCAGTCACTTAGCCTACAGATTTCCTTAACTCATTCATACACTACTTCCAGATAAATCTTTGCAAAGCTCAATTCCAATCATCAAAATCATGTGCCTCTCATGTCCACACAGTTGCCCTCATAATGTTCGCTGAATTAAATACAAATGTCTGATCTTGTCTTCTATTATTGGATAAACTATCCTTCAAGTACTAGGAGGAATGTAGTCTTCTTCATGTAGTCCCATAAAGTTTTCCCTAAAAAGTCCAGGTTAGTCTCTCTAGGCACTAAACTCCCACTGCACTTTTATTTCTTTTTTTGATTTTGAAACTGAATTCTCTTATTTGCTCATAACAATTTTTCATTTGATTCTCTCTAGGTTTTTCAGGTATATAATCACATTTCATCCAACAGTAACTGACTTCTTCCTTACTACTCTTTATATTCTTTAATTGTTGTAGATTAATGGTGTTTAATTTACGTAAAATTTTCACACATATACTTTTTGTCCCAAAAGATATCTCAAGAGGGTGACACTGTCTCTATCTGCAAAGAACAAACAGTAAATGCTTTTATAGTGCAAAGGATTGTGCCTGAACACTGTAACCAATACAAGAATAAATCAAGTATGAGTCATGCCTTCAAGAAGTTGATAGGCTATTTCCTACAGAGGTCCTAACAGCCATGAGACAATTTCAGAGTGCGGCCCAATTTTACATAAACATTTTACTGGAGCACTGCTACCTCCGTTTGTTTACATCTTATCAATGTCCACTTTCACTATACAACCTCAGAGTTGAACAGCTGAAGCAAAGACCACCTGGCTACAAACTGAGATATTTACAAACTGGCACTTTACAGAAATGGCTAGTCAACCTCTGTTCTAGTAAATTAAACAAGGCATACACATAAACAACAATAATTCAAAATGGAACAATGTAAGGAACCCAAACAAAGAAGAAACAGGAGTCAGGTTAACAGACTTAACTCATTATTATTCAGCAACGGAGCCATTACTAGAACCCAGGTCTCAACTGAACTTACAACAGCAAAAGAGCGGAACAGTATTAGATTACTGAACTGTATGTTCTCTGCTTATCTGCTATCAAGAGAAGTCAATGACAAGTCTACAGAAAAAAACTTCTATTTCAAACTCCCCAAAATAGTAGTTTAATTATCCTTAATTCCTGCTTATCTTTTGAATACTCCTATTGCCCAAATTTTGTGTTTTCTTTGAGCAAATACTCAATTAGGCACTTTGTACATATATAGGAATTTTTAAAACACGTAATTCAACCATCCCACTCATAAACTGTCTTTAAGCTGTGTAATTTTTTGATAGCTGCTGTAAATACCATTTTAAATTTTAAATAACCACAAATAAAGAAAACTTTCTGTTATTTCCATATTACTTCTAGCTTGTATCAGTTACCTTTACCTAGAACCACATTTCCAGAGTATTTAAAAGGTAAAAAGTGCAAATACTTAAAAAGTCTAGAAAATACCTAATTAAGTACACACACAATTATATATACATTCCACATGCTTTGTAGAACATATGCAACATGCCATAAGATAAAGGCACTGGGGCACCAATATATCATATGATTATAGGGTATTCCAATTTATGTGAAGATAGTGCTTGAAGGACAATGTTTCTGTTACTTACAGTTCAGCAACTTCCTGTTCCTCTTCCCAGGCCTCCTTGTGTGTTAGCTGACTGCTTCCAGTACTCTTACATGTCCAAATGCGCTCACTGTACCTTTCCAAGCGGGCTTCATACTCTCTGTTAGCAGTAGTTCAGGAAAACAATATTCAAGCAACAGAGATAAATAATCCACACATAAAAATGTTTATCACAGATATTAAGAAATACTTAGTGTCCTTTCTATAATGTATATCATGAGAAGATAAAACTGAAATAAAAGTCTTCAATTGGCAAATCCAAATGTGAAGCTGTCCACAGACTCTGCAGTGAAGGTTCGATCCTGGGGGCCAGCTGGGGAGAAATCCACATGGTGCGGCAGACCTTTCCTGTCTTGCCCACTGTGCCCCTCAGCAGTGTATTTCAGTAGATTTGCCTGTTCTGTTCCCCAATCTGTCTCTGGTGAATCCTCTCACCCTCCCGCACATCTGGCCTGTACCCTGGTTATAAATAAATAAATCTTTAAAAAATAAATATAAATCAATCAAGCTTTAAAATTTATAATAAATTTATAAATAAATAAATCTTTAAAAAAAAAAAGATGATTAGAAGTAAAGTATGATTAGAATGATTTGTCCTCTTTCTGTCCTCATTGCCTCAGTGACCAAGAGAAGAACAAATGGTTGTGCCCAAAAACCTGAAGCTTATTTGCTGTACCAACTGAACCCCCTGTGTGCCCAAGAATAAGACCACAAAGAAGCTTGTCATTCAAAACATAGCAGAGGCTAGAGTCATCAGGGAGATTACCTAAGTGTCTTTGATGCCTATGTGCTTCCCAAGCTGAATGCGCAATCATAATACTACGTGAGCTATGCCACATACAGCAAGGTACTCAGGATCATTCTCATGAACGACTGAACACCCTCCAATTTAGATTTGCAGGGGCTGCATTATAACCTCTACCAAAGCCCATATAAAGTAGCTAAGTTTCCAAGAACTGAAGAAAAACTGTCCTCTGGGAAAAAATAAAATGGAAATTATACTTAAAAAGTATAGCATGTCATGTTTACAAATACAATATTAATATTTTAGCACAAATGCAGTTTCTTAAATTCACCCAAGTTTCATTTCACAAGACACGTGCGGTACTAAAATTTTCCCCCAAAATATGACATATATGTCAAAATACAAGTAAGAATTTAAGGTCGGGGGCCTCCCCTGGTGGCGCAGCAGTTGAGCGCTGGGCTGCAAAGCTGCCCGCAGCCTCTGCAGAGCCGGTTTGATCCCCAGCCACCAGCAAGGGTCCCACATGGCGCGAAGACCTCTTCTGTCACGCCCACTGCTCCCCTCAGCAGTGTATTTCGTCAGTCTGCCTGTTCTGTTCCCTGCTCTGGCTCTGGTGAATTCTCTCACCCTCCCACGCTTCTGGCTGTACCCAGTGCTTGCATAAATAAATAAATCTTAAAAAAAAAAAAAAAAAAAGAATTTAAGGTCGGGACCTCCCCTGGTGGTGCAGTGGGTTGAGCGCAGCACTGTGAAGCTGTCCGCAGCCTCTGCAGCGCAGGTTCAATCCAGGCCAGCCTGTGAGAATCCCACATGGCGCAGCAGACCTCTCCTGTCTCGCCCCCTGCTCCCCTCAGCAGTGTAGTTTGTCAGTCTGACTGTTCTGTTCCCCGCTTTCTCTGGTAAATCCTCTCACCTCCCATACCTCTGGCCTATATCCCAGCTCTTGCATGAATAAATAAAATAAAAGTAAATTCCAGGAGATGGGGGAAAATAAAAAACAAATTCGATAAAGCCCTAAAAATAATTCTGTTATAATACCTAGTCTTTATGTTGTCCCCAATAATACTGCATTCATAAGCCATTTACCAGTCATTGTTGGAGGGGTGGGGGAGAGACAGAAAAGAGGAAAGATACAGGATGCAAACATCACTTAAGTTAATGCCATATATATGGTAACTCTCCATATAATCTTTTTTTTAAAAGATTCATTTTATTTATACATTTTATTTATGCCAGAGTACAGGCCAGATGTGCGGGAGGGTAAGGATTCACCAGAGACAGAGTAGGGAACACAACAGACAGAACAACCGAAATACACTGCTGAGAGGAGCAGCAGGCGAGACAGGAGAGCTCTGCCGCACCATGTGGGTTGCCATGTGGGTTGCTCTGGGGCTAGCGGGGATAGAACTGGCACTGCAGAGGCAGTGGACAGCTTAACAGCGCTGTGCTCAACCACCTGCGCCAACAGGGGGGTCTGCTTTCCAAACAATCTTAAGTGGAATTCACTATCAGCCATGCATATTCAAATACAAATGACAACATAATTTTATTTTATGCAGGGCAACAGATGTTATGCAAGGAAACAAAAATGATATCACAACTAGAGAATTGGCTGCCAATCTCTACACTTTCCAAGCAACATTTTGCTTGGAAATAAAAGTATTATACTATTACCTTCACAACTAAACAAGTAACTCATTTTTAATACATGAATAATTTTGGTTTCCCAGGATTATGATCAGTGAAAATACAAACTATAAGGACAAATCCACAGACAATCCAAAGTAGTATTTTTTGCCAATTGTACAAGTACCTTCCCTCACTTTATCAATCTCAGACTCTGCCCAAAGCAATCATCTATTTTTCATAGCAGCTAGTGCTAATATTTAAATGATAAAACAAAGCAGAGCAACAGTAAAAATTAGTAATCACTTTCATATAAAGGGATGTAAATCCAATCACTAAAAAATTATTAAAATCTATAAAGAGAAAAGAAAATAATAGCATGTCTTCCATAGGGAACTATAATCAACAAGATGCATCTATTTTTATTTATGTGTTTGCATTGAGGAATAGAAAGTAAAATAAAGACAGAATCAGTAAAGGGATTTACTTAAAACATTCAAAAAGTTTAATAACATTCTAATACAGTATTTAGTAACATTTAAGAAATTCACTATGTAATTAGAGAGAACGCAAGATTAACAAGTATGTCCTAAAAACATTGAGTTCTTAGTCGTCATTTTTAAAAGTAGTAATGTGCCCATGTAAGCCAACAGCATACAAGACTGGTATCACTTGAATGCCTCAAAGATATCTCAATTCCAGTCCTCCCTGGTGGCGCAAGGGTAAGACGTAACCTACAAAGCTATCCACAGCATGAGTTCGATCCCCAGCCCGGGAGCTACCCACATGGCACAGCAGACCTCTACTGTCTTGCCCATTGTTCCCCTCAGCAGTGTATTTCAGTCAGTCTGCCTGTTCTGCTCCCCACTCTGCCTCTGGTGAATCCTCTCACCCCCCACACCTCTGGCCTGTCCCCTAGCTCTTGTTTGCATAAATAAATCAATCTTTTAAAAAAAAAAGGTATCTTAATTCCAACTTTTTCTAAATTAAACATTTATGACCTCTCCTCTCCCTCCCAAACTTCCTCCTCAACAGACATTTCCAGCCTCACTGAATGGTCCTAGTGTCCAAGACAGAAATCATGAAATAATCCTCATCTCTTCAGTTCCTAACTAAAACCACTTATATATTTCTCAATCCAGTCCTTGTTCTCTAGTAACAGTCATTATCTAAATCCAGTCCCTGATCCTCACTTCCTCACCCAGTCAAAACATTTCAAAACATTTTAATTGGCCTCACTTGTAATCCTCTTCTCTCATCCTTTGTGCTTCTCACCCTAATATCCATTTTCTTCTCAATATTGTTTGCTTTTTAAAATCATTTTCTCCAATTACTTAAAAATCTCATTTGCCCTCAGGCCCCTAAAATGCAAGTATATTCCCACTGGGAAGAAATCTTCTGGCTTCCAAAGAACTGAAAATCACTCCAAGATTTTGGTAAGCTTTAATTTCTGTGGTTTTTATTATTTTAAAAGGAAAAAAGGGGGGTTGTAGAATTGAGGCTACCAGAAGAAGGGGAAAGAGAGTGCAAAGTGGGGAGTGGGCACAATGGACTATGGTAGAGGACTCTGGATGCCTTGGTGGTGGGAGTAAACTACATGTTATGAAGATACACTACTCAAGAGCCTATACCTCCCGTGAGCCTATGACTCTAAAACATACAGCACTGTAAGCCAATGTTGCCTCAATTAAAAAAAAAAAAACCTGCAAAAAAGGAAAAAATATGCTAATTAAGTGCTTAAATATTAAGTATTCATCAATACTGATTATAGGTTTCGAGGAGACTCTTCTATACTGATATGTATCTTTCCCAGATTCCTTTGAATATCCCTGCTCTCAGCATAGCATTCTCATCCTGGGTGACCGCAGCCATTCCTAGAACTTCAGTTATGATCCATCTGCTAAGACTGTCTGTCATCACTTCAGTATCCTCCCCCTGAACTCCAGGCCCACACACCCACTACCTATACGAACCCCTCCATATGGCAATATACACAAATAACAACACAACATCTTACACTTCCTATTCAACCCCATGCTGCCACTCTTAGTCATAACAAAACACTTGTTCTTCCAGGATTTTCTATATCAGAGAATGACACTAACCAAGTGAAAACCAAAATAATATCCTTGACTCCGCCCCAATCAATCACCAAGTTCTGTCAAATCTACTTTATTTATTTAAACTTTATTTTTTTATTTATTTAAACTTCTTTAAACTACTTTATTTATTTAAACTTCTCTCTACCTCAAAGGCTAGTAAATTTATTCAGACCCCCACCACCTATTGCCTAATTATTTAATGATGGCCTCACTAGTCTAGTTCCCTCTAATCTTAAGGCAGCAGTTTCATTATCAATACTGAAGTCACGTGCTCTTCCTAACCTAAAACCCTGCTCCTTTCCTATTCAAATTTTTCAACAGCCTCCACTAAAATTAAGGCAAAATCCAAACTCCTCAATCTATATCACAAGGACCTGCCCTTTTCTGTATATACCCTCATCATTAAGCAACCTCATTGCCAAATCTTCACCCTAGCCTTATGAAACTTCCTTCAATTTTCTAAAGTCAAGAACCTTCAGGGGCCTCCCCGGTGGCGCAGCGGTTGAGCGCTGGGTTGCGAAGCTGCCCGCAGCCTCTGCAGCACCGGTTCGATCCCCAGCTGCTCCCCGGCCACTGGAGGAGGGTCCCACATGGCGCGCAGACCTCTCCTGCCGCCCGCTGCTCCCC